AATGAAAGAAATGCTGAACACATCTAAAGACATAGTTAAAAAACTAGAGGAACAAGAAAAAAATTAGAGGAACAATGCAAAAAGATGGAAACACTGAGTGAACAATAAAAGAAACAAACAGAATGCATGGAGCAGATTCAAACAGATATACAGGGAATAAAAAATTCCATCAAAAGTTGGCAAAAACGCCTCAACGAAAATAAAGATAGAATTTCAGACCTCAAAGACCAGATTGCAGCCAGTGAACAGAGAAAGGAAAGATCTTTAAAAAAAAAAAACAAGGAATCAGGAAATAACAATTCAATAGCTGCAAAGCTGGTGCAAAGAAAAACAACTTAAGATTGACAGGGAAGGGGCTGGGGATTTAGCTCAGCGGCATAAGCTCCTGCCTTGCAAGCAGGCAGTCGTGAGTTCGATCCCTGGTACCGATAATAAGGAAAAAGCCAAAAAAAAAGATTGACAGGGATAAATGAAAAGGAAGGTGACAACACAAACGCTATCAAGAAGCTATTTACAGAAGTAATAGCTGAAAAATTTCCAAACATGAGAATGGAAACTGACATACAGATCAGTGAAGCATATAGAACTCCAAATAACCATAACTAAAATAAACCTACACTAAATAATAATCAACATCCCCATAAGAACAGAATATTAAAAGCTGCTAGAGAAGAGACAGATCACCTATAAAGGAAAGTCTATCAGAATCACAGTAGACTTCTCAACATAAACAGTGAAGTCAAGAAGAGCATGGAGTGAAATATTTCAGATCCAAAAGGAAAACGACTTTTACAAGTCTTGAATTATAAAAGAAATTCAAAGATTTAATGCAGACATTCCTCAAACTCTTCAATGAAACTGAAAGGGAAACAATGCTCCCTAACTCATTCCTGGAAGCAAACATTACTCTAATACCAAATCCTGAGAAAGACCCAACCAGAAAAGAGAACTACAGGCCAATCTCCCTAATGAACATAGATGCAAAAATTCTCAGTAAAATTTTGACAAACAGAATGCAGAAAGTCATCAGTAAGATTATACACCATGACCAAGTGGCATTCATCGTAGGAATGTAGGGATGGTTCAACATCCACGAATCAATACATGTAATCCACCATTATCAATAGAGCCAAAAATAAGAACCACATGATCATTTCTAAAGATGCAGAAAAGGCTTTTGATAAGGTCCAACACTTATTCATGATAAAAACCTACAGAAAATTGGAATAGTCTTTACCTCAATATGATAAAAGCCATCTATGACAAATCAACAGCCAGCATCATATTAAATGGCTAAAAACTGAAAGCCTTTATGCTAAAATCAGGAACAAGACAAGGATGTCCATTATCACCACTTCTATTCAATATAGTGCTGGAAATACTAGCCAGAGCAATTAGACAACAGAGAAAAATAAAAGTAGTAAGGCTAGGAAAAGAAGTTAAATTACGATTATTTGTAGATGACATGCTACTCTACATAGAAGACCCCCAAAACTCCATTGAAAGACTCCTAGGTATAATAATTAAGTTCGGTAATGTAGCTGGATACAAAGTCAACAATCAAAAATCAAAAGCATGTCTATACACTAACAACAAAATCACTGAGAGAGAAATAAGGGAAGCCACATCCTTTACAATAACATCCAACAAAATGAAATACTTAGGAATTAATCTAACAAAAGAAGCAACTATCCAGGGAAAATTATAATACCTTGAAAAAAGAAATCAAAGAAGACTTCAGAAAATGGAAAGACATCTCTTGTTCATGGATAGGAAGAACAAACATTGTGAAAACGGTCATTCTCACAAAATTGTTATACAGATTTAATGCAATCCCAATCAAAATGCCACTAGCATACCTTACAGATCTAGAGAAAACACTCCTAAAATTCACCTGGAACCAGAACAGACCTAGAATAGCAAAGGCAATTCTAAGCAACAAAAGCAAGGCAGGAGGCATCACAATCCCTGACTTGAAGTTATACTACAAAGCTGCAGTGATAAAATCAGCATGGTACCGGAATAAAAACACACCTGAAGATCAATGGAATAAATTACAAGATACAATTACAAACACACTCAGCCACCTTATCACACTCAGACACCTTATAAAGGGGCCAAACATGTCCAATGGAAGATAGTCTCTTCAATAAATGGTGCTGGAAAAATTGGCTCTCCATATGCCAAAACTAAAACTAGACCCATCACTATGTACTAAAGTCTAAATGGATCAAAGACCTAAATATTAAAACAGAAACACTAAATTTGTTGGAAGACAAAGTAGGTAGAAATCTTGAAGACACAGCGGTAGGTACAGAATTCATGAACAAGAATCAAATTGCATGCAAAATACTTCACAGAATCAGTAATTGGGATCGCGTCCTATTAAAGAGTTTTTGCATGTCCAAAAAAGCCTCCAGCATACTGAAAATAAAAACCACAAATTGGGAAAAAAAATCTTAGTGAATGGTCCCTTAGACAAAGGACTTCTGGGCAGAACATATAAAAAATTTTAAAATATCAGATCCCCCAAATTCAAAGACTCACTCCAAAAATGGGCATCTGAGATGAATACAGAGTTCTCAGATTACAAAATACAAATGGCAAATAAATGCATGAAAAACGTTCAACATCACTAGTCATTAGAGAAATACAAATTAAAACAACACTGAGGTTCCATCTCACTCCAGAAAGAAAGGCCAGGATAAAATTACCAACAACAAATACTGGAGAAGCTGCAGGGAAAAGGAACTCTTCTGCACTGTTGGTGGAGTCTAGACTGGTGCAACCACTGTGGAGGTCAGTCTGGAGATTTCTCAAAAGGCTGGGATTGAAAGTCTCATTTGATCCAGCTATACCACTTCTGGGCATATTCCCAAAAGAACTGAAAACATCATACCACAGTGATACATGTGCACTCATGTTTACAGCAGCACAATTTATAATAGCCAAATCTTGGAAACAGTCCAAATGTTCATCAACTGAGGAATGGATAAAAAAAAGATGTGGTACTTTTAAACAATGGAATACTACTCTGCTATAAAGAATGATCACACTGAGATATTTATAAATAAATGGATGAAACGCGAGACCATACTAAGTGAAGTAAATCAAACTCACATGTGTAAATACCCTATAGTCTCCCTAGTGTAAGAAATCGTAAGAGTACATAACATACAAAAAACTCAATAAATACTGTTCAAGAATCTGCTTAAAGGGGAAAAATAATATCTCAGGGAAAATGGAAGAAAAAGGGAAAAAATGTCTAAAATTATATAAACACACTTCAGATAGCTAAGATGATTGCACTACAAACTATTAAGCTCTTGGGACAAAATAGTTATCATTCATAGGAATGGAACAATTATGCATATTATATGGTTATGAGGAACTCGTGAAGATCATTATGTAAAATAACAACCATAGTTATGCTCAATCACCTTGTTTTGAAGGGTTATATTGTCAGTGTTCAGGACTCTTTCTATTGTTGTTTATGTCTTTTTCATTTCGTGCTTTTCTAGGAATTTGTTTTGTCTTATTTTTCCCTCTAAAACAGAAAGGATAGATATATATGTAGAGACCCATGCATGATGTGAAATACAATACTATTACTCTTTGTTCAGATTGATTTTAGCCCATTTTGTTTTGTTTAATTTCAACATACATGAAGATATAGACAGCTATTTTGAAGAGAATGAGAGACATTATGGCAGCCATTGTTGACTTCCCTACTGTCTGGTCTTGAAGACCTAAAATGCTTTCATCATCCTGTTCTGATCAGTTCTATACTGTTTTGCTTTGTATAAATTCATTGTATGTGAAGATATGGACAACTATTTGGAAGAAAACAAAAGACAATATGATACAGTGAAGATCTCCAGTTGTCTTGCTTTGAAATCTGTGTCTCTTACACACTGTTACTTTATAATGTTTTGTTCTGTTTAATTTTACCTTCTTCAAAAATAAAATTTAACGGGGCTGGGGATTTAGCTCAGCGGCATAAGCACCTGCCTTGCAAGCAGGCGGTCATGAGTTCAATCCCCGGTACCGATAAAAAGAGAAAAATAAATAAATAAGTAAATAAATAAAATTTAACCAAAAAAAATCACCCAATAATAAATGTTGCAGAGATAGAGGGTAAGGTAAACATGACGCCCTGTTGAACCATTGTAAGAAATCAGTACAGAGACCCCTCAAAAAACTAAACATAGACATTTCATTTGACCTTGCTATTCCTCTTGATATCTTTCTGAAATAGTTAAAGACATCGTATCACAGTGTATATGCATACCCATGTTTATAGCTGCATCTTGGAAGCAGTCTTCTTGTCCTACTTGTCAACAGATGAATGGATAAGAAAAATGTAATGAATACACACCATGGAGCACTACTCCAAGAAAGGATAAACTTGAGTCCTGTGTAGGAAAATGTATGTACCTTGAGATCATGTTAAATGAAATACATCGGACAGACACACAGGCTTAAATATCGTAGTTTCTTTTTTATGAGAAACCCAATATATAAAGAAAGTACAAAATACAGACAGACAATGGGGGGAAAAAGGTTGCAATAGAGCATGAAAAATGTACAATAAAAGTGAACTTTGATTTGGTGTAACTGTCTTAGGTGTTTTATATATTTTTTGGCCTGTTAGTCTAGCTGTTAATCTGTACTTATGATAATTAACCTAATAAATAAATAAATAATGAAATCTGACGCTGACAAAAATACTTTTTATAAAGAAAGTGGAGAAAGGGAAAATAAAAAAATTTACACGTGAACATGTGCCAATTTGCCACAATGAATATAATCACCATGTACTGCAAAATGTACTCATTAAAATTAATTTTTTTTAAATTACCCAAATGACTGGTATCTAAGATACAATGACCACATGAAATTTTTGTTTAGGGAGACACAGCTACTGTTCTGGGTATTTTTCCTTTTGAGAAAAGGTTTAAAAATGTCACATCAATTTGTGCCAAGGATAGCAAAAAGAATGAGAATTATCTTTTTTATTTATTAGTATTTTAATGTTTGATTCAAACACTATTACAACAATATTTGAGATTCCACAGAGAACTGCATGCATTTGCTATTAAAAAGACCTTTTTTGTTGAAGCATTTCAACTTTACCTCTTGGGAACTCTCTTGTTACTTTTCTCTGGTTGCTGAGACAAAATTCTTGACACCCAAATGACAGAGGGAAAAGTTTATTTAGCTCCCAGGTTTGTGGAGGTTTCAGTTCATATTCAGCTGGTCCAAGGCAGGGTGGCATGGCAGAGGGGCAACAGTTTTGGAAGCAGAAGATGGCAAAAGCAACAAGAGCAAAAGAGAGAGCAAGTCTCCTCCCTTCCCTTTTATTGTGTGCAAGCTACCTGCTCAGGATGTTTACAAAGTAAGGACCCTGGCCCTCTACTGAGTCACTTAAACTTCTAAACTTTTCAGACTGACACAATGTATCAATCATTATAGGAACTGAAGAAACAGGGAAGTTTCAAGTATTTGTCAGCACACAGTCATTCACAAATTCCTAGGTGCTTATTTTCTACATTTACCTATGAAAGGTAATTTTCACCAGAAGCCTACCATGACTGAAGAGTTCAGAGCTTTAGAACTCATAAAGTGACCAGAACCTACAAATTAGCATAATTAGTTATCCAAAGCTTGATTCAAATATTTGAAGAATAGCAAACACCAAATAACGTAATACCAAAAAGAATTAGATATTAGACAAAGACTCATCCACTAAAATAACCTAAAACTGAAATTTTCTTCACCAGTTTGTACTGGTGTGACTTTTTCATTAGTACTGCTTCCAATAGTTTCACAGGTTTTATAAGCAAACAATAAATCTCTAGCATTCTGCAAGAATCATCACTTTCATAAACTGCACTGTACACCTGCAATGTTATACTATTATATAATAAGCATTTTATCATACACCAACTTTTAGCCACAAACAATAAAACACAAAAAGCTATACAGGACAAAACACAAAACTTTTGAATATTTCCCCTTCCTCACTCGTTAGCAGGTAGCATTTTTTTAAAAGAGAAAGTGATGAAAACGCAGAAATTTTGCTTCCAGTGTTCAACTTCCTTTTTTATCGTCGTCTAGTACCACCATATCCTAGAATGAAAAGAGTAAAATTTGTACTAGCTTTCTAAAATAAGTTAAAATTACTTATACAAAATTACAAAAGTAATGCATGTTTATTGTTAGCAAATGAAAAAGAGATGAGGGAAGGTGAGGATAAACCATTAAGTGGAACAAAACTATGCAGGATATACAGCACCTCCCACAGCAACTCACACATTTGCTATGGATAACACTTACTCAGGAAACCAAAGATGTGTATAATGGTAAGGCAAAGTGGGATCGTTAACACTAACAGGGTCTAAGCCAATTAACAGAAAGGCCAAAGAAGCATAAACTGTGCCTCATCACATCTACAACTCTCATGGTAAACAGAAGAAATGTAGTGGCTAAACTTCTTCCTGGTGTCACCCTAACTGGCGATTAGGAGAGACAGCGGAGGAGATTAGTAAAGCACACTTCTGGGTGTGTTGGGGAAAGTCACAGGGGTACAACCTTGGCCACTGTACCTGGCCTATCACCTCTTTCCTTTTGGTGCTGCTCCTCTGCTCTGCTTCTTGGCCACTGGAAACTAAGTATCTTACTGTCTTGTGCCCTTTTGCTGTGATGTCTCTGTCTTGCAGCCAACCAAGTATGGACTAAATTCCCTCTAATTAATCACAAGACAAATTAAATCTCTTCTTTAAATTGTGAGTAGATGCTTGGTCCCCACAACAGGAAAGCTGACTAACACAGGGAGCCCGGAACTGCAATGGCCCATGTACTTAGATCCACCCCCCCCCCCCGCCACACTGACAGACAGGCTATGAAAAGGGACACTGAACATTCTTGTGCTTACCAACCCATGTACAAACATATATATTTCTATTGCTAGGTATATTGGCCCTTCCTATCAGTGAGTTCCACATACATGGATTCAATCAACTGTGGTTTGAAAGTATTTCCAAAAAAGAACATTTGTCCTCATCATTATTCCCTAAACCACACAATATACCAAGTTATTTGCACAGCAGTTACTTTGTACTAGATATATTAAGTAATCTAGCGATAATTTAATATATATGAGGATATTCTTAATTTATATGCATACTGTCCTTGAAGGTTAATGGAACCAACAATATCACATAATATAGACACACAACCATCTTTGAGAGTAAAACCACAAGATTCTAGATGCTAGGTTCAATTTTAGTAGGGAGTATCAGTTTCTCAAAGTGCTTATGTTGATTCATATCCAAACAGCACTATGAGAATTCTATTGTTACATTTTTAAATACAGGTAAATGTATTTTTTAGCCATCTCAAGAATTATTCTTTATTCTATAGCTTATTCTTCCTGAAAAAGATAAACCTAATCCATAGCAATGTACAAATGTTTCACCTCCCATTTCCTACCATTTCCAATGATTAATCAGATATTTAACTCCAAGTTACTACTTTTTAGATCTTTGCTTCTTACAAAACATTCTATTTACGCTTTATAATAAATATTTCTGACAATTATTAAAGAATAGCTCCATGTACTTTTTTTTAATCTTCCTGAATTTGAAAAGTCAAACTTCTACTTAAAAACACTTTCTGTGAGCTTAGAAGATTCTTACAGATCACAGAATTAAACATTTGTAAAAACTAACCACCACCATCACCCCCTAGGGCAGGGGTTACAGCTCAGTGGCACAGCACCTGCCAGGCAAGTGCAAGGTCCTGAGGTTAATCCCCAGTTCCAAATAATAAATAAATAACCTCCAGAAAAGTTTTAAATTAAATCTGTACCTCAGTGGTACAGATGACCATAAACCAACTCTGATTTTTAAAGAATGTTTACAAATAGAAGAAAAGATTATGTAGATATCTCAATTTCCCACCAGGAGTGTAATCATTACATACTGCCAACATGTACTAATCAAAATAATTATGTTCTAATTTGTTAACCTTACTATCAATATTTTTGGGTGAGCATACCAAAGAAAATCATATACTAAATATTTAACCATCTTCTAAATTCTAAAACTACTTCTGAACTTTCCTACTACATAGTAGAAGCATCCATATTTTTGCTCTCACCTGATGCTGTTCTGGTTTTTGTCTCCGAGCCTGAACATGTCGAATAGCCCCCTAGGCCTCCGTGAGGTGGCGAGTAAGCACGACTATTCCATGGACTGCTATACGGAGGAGGATAGGAAGGCTGGTACCATGAGTTTGAAAATGGTGTTGCTGTCCTTTAAAGACATAGAAGTGGGTTAAGCATCTTTCCTGTGACTGTAATTTTTAATTACTTTTCTGTTCCTAAACCATAAGGGAAAAAAAGCATTGTTACCAAATATTTTTCCCAGACTATTCAGTAGATCAGGGTTAACATCAAATAAATTCTATAAATTTCTGCTAATGTTATAGTTCTGCTTTAGGGAAAGACAGGAAGAGAAAGTAGATGTTTTTGTTTTGTTTTTGAGACAGGGTGTCGCAATACAGTTCAGGCTGGCCTTGAAGTTACCATGTTAGTAGCCCAGTCTGACCTCAAACTTCTAGCAGTCTTCCCAGTCCTGGGCACATGTACCACCACACCCAGCTTGTTCTTTCTTTTTGAATTCATACTCAAGAAAAATCTAAACTTAAAGTACAACTAAAGCTCAAGGAATTCTAAAACCTGGCCTCAAGCTCTTTCCAGGCTTACTTTTATCATTCTTCTTCCAAACTAGACTGCTGATAGTTCCTCCCAAATGTCTCCATTTCTGCCTTCTCAGTGTTCTCAGATGTCAAGCAAATAGTGTTTTTCTATCTCATAATATTTATGAGGATGGCACAGGAAGGAACCACAATGAAGGAAAATACTATATACAATATTGATTAAAGCACATATGGTGTATCTTTCCCCATCCCAAACTAATCTTATTTAATAGGAAAATATCAACATAATTTATTTTCCTTTATAAAAGCAAATGCTGTGAAATTATAAGCAAAACAAAGAAACCTTGAAGGAAAAGCTGAAGTGAAGAGCAAATGAAATCAATGCAAAGCCTACCTACTGCTGCCGAACAAATATCCTAATATTCCTCCAGCTCCCAGGCCAGTCCAGAACCCTGGTCCCGAATCTCCATATCCTTGTTGTCCTGCAAAAGCACTGCCAAAACCAGAAGCTGTACCATGGCCAGTACTCTGTGATCCTTAAAATAAAAACGATTAAATTAAACATCTTCACTGAAATGTAACAGTCAAAATTTGATGTTTCTATTATTTCACCTACTGTACTACTTAATAATAATTTGATGTTTCTATTATTTCACCTACTGTACTACTTAATAATAATCAGTTCTCAGGGCTCGGGGATTTAGCTCAGATGTATAAGCAGCTGCCTGGCAAGGACGAGGTTGTGAGTTTGATCCCTGGTACAAAAAAATAAAAAATAATAATAATACCCAGTTCTCAACTTATAAACAAGCTGTATCTATAAAGTACATCTGTAAAATACGGGCTCAAAATTCATAAGCACATTTTTCATGGAGAAAGGGAAAGAGCAATATACTTGAGAAATGGGAGGAAGTTTCCCTATAAGGTTATATGTATTTTCCTTGCTCATGATAAGCCATCAGAAGGTAATCTCACTTTACAATGATTTGCATTCTGCATTTCAACTGTCTTTGAGGGCTCCAGATGAGAGAGCATTTCATGATTTTCTGATGGACATTTATTTCTGTCAGCTGAGTTGTACTTTCAAAATGACTAAAATAAAATGCTGCTCAGAGAAAGTTTTTTATAAATTGACCAATACATACAGGAAAGCATACTAAGCTTACATGGATGGCATAAAAAAATTGGCACCGACATCAATAAACCATTTCTGGCATTCTAGAAGGCTCATTACAACTTCTCAATAGATACCTACCTGTATCTAAGGTAATTACTCTGACTACGGTCCTTACACGCCTGTTCACTCCTGATCTTTTCATAAATACAATCATTGACTATGCATTACTTCATGTCTGCCACATCATTATTTCTATGAAAGTCAATCCTACTCTTATACCTATCAGCTATTTTGTAACTCATGTAGCAGTCCATCATGTGAAAAACTCATAATTTGCTTTTTTTTTTTGGTACCCGGAATCAAATGCAGGACCTTGAGCTTACCAGGCAGTTATTTATGTTGCTGAGCTGTATCACCAGCCCCTGCATTCTAACAATTAGTCTATTTCCCATTTTTGTCTATATTAATAAAATTACTATGAACATTCTTGTGTATTTTTTTGTGCACAATGCCTTCACTTATCTTTGGTAAATACCTGAAAATGGAAACCATGATCATGGGGTAGACATATTTAGTTTTAGTACATTCTGACAATTTTCCAAAGTGTTTTGCCACTTTTAACTCCTAAAAACAAAATATAAAATCTCCAATCACTTATCTTTGTGAGTTCTTAATACTCATTTTAATGTTAGTCATAACACTGGTTTTTTAATGGTTAAAGACAATCCCCTTGGGGGCTGGAGATTTAGCTCAGCACCATAAGCAACAGCCTGGCAAGCACAACACTGTGAGCTTGATCCCCTGTACCAAAATAATAATAATCTCCTTGTGGTTTTATTCTGCATTTCCCTAAAGAAAAATGTTAGCACATTTATAGTTATATTGGCCATCTGGATATTCTTTTATTAAAAAATGGCTTTGTGTCCTCTCTCCACTATTTAAATGGGATCTTTTCTCAAATTCATGAAAGGTCTATATATATTTTAGATACAAATCTTTTGTTGAACGTTTTACAAATACTTTTTCTCTAGTCTGTGGCTTGCCTTTTCACTCTCTTAATGGTCTTGATAAATAGATGAGCTTAATTTAAATAAAGTGTAACCTTTAATTTTGTAACTAGTACTTTTTGTGTTCTGTTTAAGAAATCTTTGCCTGTCCTAAGAACATGGCAAATGTTCTCTCATATTTTATTCTGGTAACTTGTTTTATCCTTTCTCTTGAAATCTACATTACTTACTGAGTTTAACTACTGTGTACAGTGTAGTTGATACAGGGGTCAAGGGAAATGCTTACTAACAACTCTGATCAAGTCTCGCTGATGAAAATGATTTATAATTTAATAAGGCATCCTAAAAATAGTAATCATCACATACTCATAAAAAAAGACCAAAAGAGGCAAAAGAAATTGAAAGTAAACACATAAGAAGACAAATCTACTTTGATTTCTCAGTGCAATCATTCTTTTTTTCAAAAGAAAGCTCAAGATTCATTGGCTACCATCCAACCTATTGGCAGCCACTGAGAAGGGAAACCCACCTGTGAACTCAGACTTAAAGCCTGGGGGAGGAGCTCCTGCCGAGCCGCTGAACCTCTGATGATGCTGGGAATATGGAGGAGATTCAGAGTACGGTGGAGGCGAACACTGGCCGTCACTAAGAAACAACTTGTAAACTACAAAGGCAATAGTAAGCAGCACTCCGATTGTGACCAATCCACCAGTGGCGCAGGAATCTGCAGAGTAGTACTTATAATAGTAATCAGAGAATGAGAAGCCCTGCTGTCTTCCAGATTCTTTCAATTTCTTCAGGCCAATCTCTGTATAATCTAAATGATACTCCAAGCCACAGGAACCTCTAAGTACATACTGGTCTTCAGAGGAATCATAGCCTTCACAGCTCACCACAGTTTTTCCAAACCTGTATGCAATATCCAAATCGGTCTTACATTCCCACTGTGAAAAAAAGTAGAAAGAGGTTCTAATAACCAAAGTACCTTTTCACTTAGTATTATATTACTTGGAGTATATTATATCTATCATAAAACTGCAAAATAAAGAGAGGAAATAATGAACAAAATTCAGGATAATTATATATTGGGGGAAGGTAAACTAGGGGCTTCAGAGATACAGGTGATACTGGTATACGTCTAAAAAAATTTTTTTAATACATGCTTGCAGTAGGTAATAACTGCACTCATCAAGAAGTAATATGCACATAACAATCTTAATTCCTTCTTCATCCCTTTCTCCTCTCTCCCTCTGTCTCCTGGTTCCCTGGTATTTTAAGCTAGGGAGCACAGGGAACTGAGCATTCTCTTTATTCCTTATATATACATGATATATGTCCTTTTCTATGTATTAAAGATTCCATAATTTTTGAAATGTGAGGAAATTTTTTAAAATGTCAGCATTTTGCTACCAGCATTCAACGTGCTTCTTTAAAAAGATATTTTAGGGGCTGGGGATTTAGCTCAGTGGCTCGAGTGCTTGCTGATAAATTCAAACCCCACTGCCAAAAAGAGAGAGAGAGATTTTAAGATCATCATCATATATAAAGATCCAGTAGCTACACATAACATTGGAGATACTGCTCTGAAAAGCGAAACTTTCTATTTAAATTTTTATAAACCATGGACTAATTTTATAGGGTCCAATCCTACAGTCTTCTGTAATTTTTTGAAAGATATTTAGAAAAATATAAAAAGATTCCACTGTAGCCTTAGAGAAGTAAAGACTGTAGCTCAGTGGCAGAGTATGTACTGAGCATGGGCAAGGCCCAGGGTTCAATCCTCACTACCACCAAAAAACTAATAAATAAATAAGCTCAAGTTTAGTTCTAAGCAGGTTAAATGCTTTAGTGTTTATTTACAGTCTTTAGATCTTTTTTTTTTTTTTTGAAACAGTCTCATGCTATGTAGCCCAAGGTACAGTGACCTTCCTGCCTCAGCCTCCCAGGTGCTGTGATAAGCATATGCCACCACACCCAGCTCTTTCTTATGATAAACAGATATGAGCTAAAGTAAATTATTTTATTGCCTTTCTGTTATGTTTGTACAAATTATCTTCTCTCAAAATTTAGATATACTATTCTACATTTTTATAACAACTTTATTGCGACACATAATTTACAGACTTCAGTGGTTTTTGGTACATTCACATAGTTATGCAACCATTACCACGATCAATTTTAAGATGCTTTCATTACCCACTAAGAATTAATGCTCACTCCCTTCTCAAACTTCCAATCCTATTAACAATCTACTTCCTATCTAAATATTTGTACACATCCTGGACGTTTCTAACAGATGGAGTCACATAATATGGGGCCCTCTATGACCAGCTTCCTTCACTTGGTGCAACAATCAAGGATTTATCTGAAGCAAGACTTAGACAAAATTTATTTGATAGCGGTAAAATTTTGCTTAAATATAAAAGCTAAATTTACATTTATATGTCACGTTAATTCCCTAATAGTGTACATTAAAAATGGCTCTGGGAAAAAATTTAAATTCCTACTACTAAACATAAGCCGAAGTATGATACACTCTACACTTCTTTTCTCGTGCTGTCTTTGCTCTCTTCATCTTCAGCTCCCTTCATAACACAAATAACCCTCTAAGTCTTCCCGAAAGCCTCCAACCAGACATGATTTTACAATACCTTCTTAGTGCATACATGTAACTTGAGTGTTTATCTCTTTTACTAGGAAAAGTGTTTCTTGATTCTATACTATTCATTTTGTACATAAAATATTCAACATATGTTTAAGGAAGACATCATTATTAGTATTTTTTTTCAATCAAAACTAAAAATATGCTTCCGGAGGTAGTAGCGTGGTAGAATACTGCCTACCATGTGTGAGGCCCTGAATTCATGTGGTAAGGGGTGAAAGGGTTAACTCCCTAACTCCCCAGAGCGGGGAATGAAAGGGTTAACTCCCTAACTCCCCAGAGCTATCAGAGCAGAGCAGAAAGAAATGCCTAACTCCCCAGAGCTATCAGAGCAGAGAAAAAAAAAAAAAGAAAGAATGCACCTGCAAGGTTGTTCTGTCTCAACGAGATAAGTAAGACAAGTAACTGTTCTGTTCTGGGCACATAGTGACTGGGCTAGGACCCCCAGTCTCCATGGTTACTCAACCCCAAACCCCTCCAATCAACTTCTGCCAAGTCCTATCCTGCTCAAAATTAACCAATGCAATCTGCTTCTGTAAACTCGCTTGCCTCCCGTTTGCCCCCTTAAAAACCCTACACAATTCCCCCTTGGGGTCTTCCGCACTTGTTTGCCTGGGGGACCCCATGCGCATGGAAATAAACTTTTTTCCCTCACCAAGAGTTGAGTCCTTGGGGTCTCTTTCCCTGCGGCGTCGGCCCTAACATCTTGGAGGCCCCACCGAGATAGCACGTCTCACGGGAGGTGACCTCAACGGCTCTGCGGTGGGTGAGTACGACCGGTCGCTTCTTATTTTTACTCTGAGGATCAATCTACCGGTATTTTACGCCCCGAGCCAACCGGGCAATTTTTGTTACCTGTTTTTGTTATCTGTTCTCTGTTCTCTGGTGACCGGGGAACGCCCCACACGGTTTTCCGTGACTCACCGTCTGCGATAGGATTTTCCTATCGGTCTGGGGAATTTCATTCCCAATCTGTGGTCCTTCTGGGCCAATCTGGGGAATTTCATTCCCAATCTGTGGTCCTTCTGGGCCAATCTGGGGAATTTCATTCCCAATCTGTGGTCTGTCTGGGCCAATCTGGGGAATTTCATTCCCAATCTGTGGTCCGTCTGGGCCAATCTGGGGAATTTCATTCCCAATCTGTGGTCCGTCTGGGCCAATCTGGGGAATTTCATTCCCAATCTGTGGTCCGTCTAGGCCAATCTGGGGAATTTCATTCCCAATCTGTGGTCCGTCCGGGCCAATCTGGAGGCACCCCCTAAGGTGACTCATTTGGTGTGAAACTCATGCGTGAGAGTGAGGTGGCCAGCCTGTTTGTCCTGTGTGTTGTGACTGTTGTGATCGGTTATTTGTTGTGTCGCGCGTACGCTAACCACTCTTTGTCTTCAGAACACCATGGGACAAAGGACATCGTCCCCATTGTCCCTCACCCTCGACCATTGGTCAGAGGTTCGAGAGAGGGCTCACAATCTCTCCTTACAGGTTAAAAAAGTAAATGACAAACTTTCTGCTCGTCTGAGTGGCCCACATTCTCCGTGGGTTGGCCACCAGAGGGGACTTTCCACCTTCCCCTCATCTTAGCAGTTAAGAACATCATCTTCCGCCCCGGACGAAGAGGGCCACCCCGACCAGCATGCCTACATCTTGGTATGGCAGGACCTCAGGAAAGAGCCCCCACCGTGGGTAAAACCCTTCCTTCCTCCGCCCTCTCCTTGGTTGCCTATTTAAACTTGTTACTAACTTAGGGGCTTGTTGCCCATTTCTGTTGCAGGATCCATATGGCTTATTAGATTCAAGGTTCATGATAAAAAAAATTATTTCCTTTAGCTGACCAAACTATGCAAGAAGCTCCCTTTGTTTGTGTCTTTAATGTTGTGGCGCTTTGTTTAATATGTAAGACTTCAATTGATTGCTTACAACCTCAGCATACCTTTTAAAAGAAATATTTTTTTCTCTCTGGTGAAAATGTAAACATGTACACATATATATATGTATATCTATGGTTATTAAAAATCATATCAACTTTGCCAAGTAAAAACCAGGCGGTACTATGTTTGAGCCAATTAAAAGGTTACAGTTTTGTTTTTAAAATACAGCATTTTTATGTGGTAAAAAGACATAAAATAAGTATGTTTTGGACTACTAAAAGGTGACTTCAAGGGTTTTGTTGAGAGTTTTAATGTTGTCTGAAAAGTGAGAAAAAAGGTAATTGACTGGTAATAGTAAAAAGAGGGACAAAAAGAGTGGTCTTCAAGTAAAGGTGTCTGGCTATGCCAAAATGTGAAAAAAGATTAAAGCTTAGTTTGAGAGGTATTATTGTAAGTTGTAGAAGGCTCAAGAAGATGTAAATTTTATTTGTCTTGATTTATAGTACTGCAAATAACAGGTTTGACAAAAAGTAAATGTGTTTAAAATTTGACAGTATTAGATCAGTTTTGGTAAAAGTATACATAAGATTGTACTTTGCTGCAAAATGTTTTCATTAAAATGAGATTATAGGTGATACTAAAAATAAGATACAAGTTCTTACATGTACTGTAAACATCTGGGAGATTATACAGCACAATTTTGTTACCTATAAAAAAGCCCTTTTTGTTAAGAATATAATTTTAGTAAAATGATGGCCTGCCACGTGACACCCTTGGACAAAAAACAGTGTGCCATCCAGATGAAGCCGGCTCTCTGATCCGGAATGCCAAAACCATGTTCTCCTTTTGTGCTACCCTGACTGGACATCCAGAGGTAAGGAGGTTTCCCAGTATCGCCAGTTGTTCTCTTTGTAACTCAGTCGGCCCCACATGTTAGACAAAAATTACAAAGGTTTGAGAGGTTTAAAAAAATGCCCCTCAGCCAGTTAATAAAGATAACAACAAAAAGGTCTTTAAAAACTAAAAAATTTACAAAAAGATAGCCAAGATGTTAAAATTGCTCTACGAAAAAAAAAAAACTTTTAAAAAAACAGATGAGAGTTTCTGGGGGCAATTGGATACTGTAGGCTAAATTTTACTGAAAAGCTTGCCTCTATATGACTCCCATAAGGGAGAAACTCAAAATTCGCTGAACTGGACTGATAAATATAAACAGGCCTTCCAACAGCTCAAGCGGGCCTTGACAGAGGCCCCAGCCCTGGGACTCCCTGACGTTACCAAGCCTTTCATCTTATTCATAGATAAACTCAGGGACATTGCCAAAGGAGTCCTAACTCAGGACATTGGCCCTTAAAAGAGGCCTATAGCCTACCTCTCCAAAAGACTTAATCCAGTAACAGGAGTATGGCCCCCTGCCTTAAAATACTAGCTACTGTGACAATGTTACTTAAAAAAACGAAGAAACACGCTTTGGGCAAGTGATTTCTGTGGTAACCTCTCACAGTTTAGAGACTCTTATCAAAACCCCTCCAAAAAAAAAAAAAAAAGGCTCTCCAATGCCAGAATTCTACTGTCAAGCCCTGCTTCTAGACCCAAAGTCAATGATATTCAAGACTTCTTCAGCTTTAAACCCAGCCACCCTTATGCCTGATGATGACCTGGAGAAACAAAGGACACCTCTCCATGAGTGTGCTGACATCCTCAAACTGCAGCGGAACCTACAGGCTGATCTTACTGACCAGCTTTTGGAAAATGCCGACAACTGTTCGATGAAAGCAGCTTCATCCAGAACGGCAGAGACAGATGAGTGGCCGGGACAGCAGTGACCACCAAAAAGGAGGTACTCTGGGTTAAAGGGTTACAGCCTGGCACCTCTGCCCAAAAGGCGGAGCTCATTGCTTTGACTGATGTACTAAAACTAGCCACGAAAAAGAGGGCTCCACAAATCCTGAATTTGCTGGCAACAGTCTGGCTGTCAGCAGATTGCTGCTATTCACCTGAGGAAACAATTTGGCAGATCAGGCCGCTAAAAGAGTAACAATCACATCAAAGAGGCCAGCCGAAAAAGTAACTGCTCTGATGCAAGTCCCCCCGACCTTATCAGAACCAGTCTACACAAAAAAAGACTACACTGGTTGTTGTAAGCCATCTAACGGATTCCAGTCCCTGTGACTAAAAGACAAGTACAAAATTTCTAAGAGCCACAGGACTGATCCAGAGTTTGGGACCCTGGCAGAGGCCTGTTGTCTACCTTTCCAAGAGACTTGGTTCTGTGGCAACCAGATGGCCACCCTGTCTGCGGTGATTTCTTCAATGGCCCCCTCATAAAGGAGGCTTAAAAATTGACTTTTGGACACAAACTCTTAATTGTTTCCTCCTATTCACTAGAGACTCTCATCAAGGTCCCACCAGACTGATAGATGTCTAATTCCTGAGCCATACATTATCAGGCACTATTTCTGGAAACAACAGCTTCAAACTCGGCTACTTTGCTGCCTGAGGATGACCCCTCGTTGCCTCATTGATCACCTCACGGAACATCGACCTTATGTAGTTGATAAGCTACTGTCTAGAGTTCCATCCTACTTCTCTGATAAAAACAGTTATGTCTCTCAAGAGCCCATTTGCACTTAAAAAGACCAACATCTGACAGCTCAACTTCCAAGAGATTCCGGGGGCTAATATCAAGCTAGCCCAGTCTGTGAGCTTCAGATGCCCTCAGTGCCAATTGGTAAATCTAAAAGTACTACAACAAATAAAAACCACTGGTTATCGTGGGACTATGCCTAAAAACACTAAAAAATAGATTTTACAAATAAAAAGCCTAAACTTCAAAAATATAAGTGTTTTCTACTTAGTCTGAGTCAGCTCTGATAACAGTTTCTCTGATTTGGTCTCCCTTTTTATCCGTGGGGTCCAACAATGGCCTGGCTTTTATAGCCTAGTAACTCAAATTAACCTAAGCTTTACAGATCAATTAAAAAAAAACTCAATTGGGCTTACCAGCCTCAGAGTTCAAAAAAGGTAAAAAGATAAGTTAGATTTTAAAGACTATAATTACTAATGGCCTTAAAAACTGGCGAAAACTGGGTGAGTCTCTTTTCCTTCTGCCCCTTTACATGCGTGATACACCCCCTATGTTGCAGATATTTCCTCTTTTGAGGTTTTATGTGAGGTTTCTAAAAATTAGCTAATTTAACTAATCAAGATCTTATTAAGTCTCCCCAGACTTTTCAGCTAGCTGTGACTTCCATCCACTGGTTACTTCGCTGCTGCCCACTACAGCTAAAGAGCCTAGACACCTAGACAAGCGACCTCACCATAAATCTCTTGAGAGCAACCTCACCGTAAATCTCTTGAGCCGCAATAGATTGTCAAAATAGCTAAAAGCCTGCCTAGATTCAACGTTCCCAATGCAGACAAGTCCCAACTTCAAAAGACCGTCAGCCTACAAATAAGTAAACTGTCATTTCTTCCAAGGACACTTTAAAGCTTAAGATTGTCTAATATAACTAATAATTTTGTGTTCTCCTCTTTATAAAGACCCCAAGGAGGCCTCTGTCTGACTTAAAAATTGTTACTTGTATGATAAAACAGAGTAAATTTAAATGTTGGTTTTCTTTCTCCTTTTGGTTAACAGCTTTAATGACAGCTACAAGACCTTTGTTAATCCTCCTACTGGGCCTTATATTATAAACAAGTTGATAAACTATGTCAAAGTTCTTAAAAACTTATGATTTTAAAGACACATACAAGGTTATAAACAGATGCAATAAAAAAGCTAAGAAAAAAAATTAAATCTCGAGAGCCCCCTTCAAGTAAAGCCAAAATGTTCTCCTTCTGGGAATCAATCCTGCCCTATATTCTCCCTTTACTGAGACCCCTGGCTGGATTCATTATAGTCATGGCTATAGCCCCTTACCTCATTAACCGAGTAACCCAGTTTGTGAGGGCTCAGATCTCTCAAGTAAAGGTTATGGTGCTACGTCAACAATATGATCCCTTACCCATACAGGACCTTTAAGATTAAAAGTCATCAAAAAAAAAGGGGGGGGGGAATGAAAGGGTTAACTCCCTAACTCCCCAGAGCGGGGAATGAAAGGGTTAACTCCCTAACTCCCCAGAGCTATCAGAGCAGAGCAGAAAGAAATGCCTAACTCCCCAGAGCTATCAGAGCAGAGAAAAAAAAAAAAAGAAAGAATGCACCTGCAAGGTTGTTCTGTCTCAACGAGATAAGTAAGACAAGTAACTGTTCTGTTCTGGGCACATAGTGACTGGGCTAGGACCCCCAGTCTCCATGGTTACTCAACCCCAAACCCCTCCAATCAACTTCTGCCAAGTCCTATCCTGCTCAAAATTAACCAATGCAATCTGCTTCTGTAAACTCGCTTGCCTCCCGTTTGCCCCCTTAAAAACCCTACACAATTCCCCCTTGGGGTCTTCCGCACTTGTTTGCCTGGGGGACCCCATGCGCATGGAAATAAACTTTTTTCCCTCACCAAGAGTTGAGTCCTTGGGGTCTCTTTCCCTGCGACGTCGGCCCTAACAGGGGCTGTAAAAATAATTTAAAAGTAAAACACAGTGAAGTGTACTTTAATCTGTAGACCCTACAATTCAATTTATTCAAGTTAGCAATAAAGGGGAAAATGTTGTAAAATAAGTATTACCTGGCAAACACAAACTCTCTGAACTATACTACACATAAAGGCCTTACCCACAAAGAATAACATTCTGATGGAAAAGGAAATCATCAATACGAGATTCTTGCATAGCTGGGGAAGTAGCCCAGTGGCAGGGCCCTTGCCTAGAACGTATGAGGGTCTGTGTTTGATCTCCAGCACTGCCCCACTGCCACTACACCCCACAAAAGGATTTTTTCCTAGTGACCAAAACACTGCCTGTTTTTTTGAAAGCAGACTGAATATAAAGTAGGACTATAGGCACTGATTTAAACTAAATTTGCCTAACAAAATCCATCCCCCATCTCTAGAGTATATTAAGTTTTAGAACTTCAAGAAGGTGTTCAGGCTCCCTATGTAGAAAATGCTAGCATCGGGGCTGGGGATTTAGCTCAGCGGCATAAGCACCTGCCTTGCAAGCAGGCAGTCGTGGGTTTGATCCTCGGTACCGATAAAAAAGGAAAAAGACCAAAAAAAAAAAAAAAAAAATTAAAAAAAAAAAAGAAAATGCTAGCATCCCAAGCAATAAATAAGGGCCACTAAAATGGTCCTATTCCTAAAAAATTACTTTCAGGGGCCAGGACATAGCTCAGTGGCACAACACCTGCCTGCCAAGTGCAAGGCCATGAGTTCAATTCCCAGTATCAAAAAAAAAAAAAAAAAAAAAAAAAGAAAAGAAATTACTTTCAGCTATATGACAGTTTTAAAATCTAAGAATGCTGGGGGCACATGTATGCCTACTATTTATAATCCATAATTCCTGATCACCTTAACTTTACTACTTAAGGGTAAGTTAGTATTTTTGGCAGAACTAAGAAAAATGATAAAACATTTTGAAAATTTACCAATATAGTAGAAGAAAGTTTTGGTACAAAACTTACAATGCCTATTTCCAGGCTCTGAAATCAGTTAATTTCTTTTGAAGACTGTTTCTCCCATGGGAAAAATAAAAATAATAAAAATAATTTTATTTTACAATGAGCTGAAGTCTTCCATGAATGCTTCACCCAAGTATTAATATCCCAAAAAGCAATTTATTGAATAAAAATTTCATTTAAACTGTCGCTGCTATATTACCTGTACATCATAACCATCCCAGCCTTTGTTCTGACACTGTATGACTTTTGGAGTATAGGCATCACAACCAGCTGTGCCTCCAACACATTTCAACTGTGGGATGGGGTCCAGCCTCCGGGAGGTGGTATAGCGGTCAGAGTAAAGAGTAAGAGCTTTTACATCTCGCAACAATATTCTGTCTGAAACAAGGAGAACACAGAGGAAGAAAATAAATATCCTGTCAAATACAGAAACATTCATCCTAAAACATTTCTGTCATCAAAAATAGTTTCAAAAGAAATGTTCTTTCTCCTCTTTGAAAATAACTGAGAAACCAGTCTCTTAAAGGCAACCTAACATTCAGGCCTTTTGTGCAAAATTCAAATGTACTTACCTCTCTTCATTTCAAGTCTGATGCTCCTACATTACAAACTACGTAATTTTACCTAATTAAGAACAAAAAGCTTAATAACCTGAAATGCACTACAATGTAACAATAGCATGGTTAAACAAAAATGGCAGAAATATATAAATCCCTAAAGTATATTTAATTAAATGAACAGATTAATAAACTATGATCTATTCTTACAGCAGAATATTCTATATTCCACAGCAGTCAAAATGAATTAGAACTCATGCATCAAACTAGATAAATAGTAAAAATCATATTAAGCAAAAGAGAAGTTATGAAATATGTTAAGTATAACTACATAAATTGAAAAAGGGCAAACAGCACTTAATGTTGACCTTTATAAATGTACATAATATAAAAACATGTACAGGAATGATTAAATACCAAATGCAGGTAAGTAGCTCTAGGGAGAGAGGAAGGGAAGAAAAGCTCTTCTATCCCTACTGTTTCATTAACTGAGGTTGAAGAATTTGCAGCAATTATGGCAAAAACAAAGACTAAATAAAACTGAGGGTGATTACATGAATGTTTGTTGTGTACTTCTATGTGTTTAAATATTTAAAATACTTTACAATTAAAATTAAAAACACTGAACTTTTTCACAAATTAAAAATAGCACCAGGGCTGGGGATTTAGCTCAGCGGCATAAGCACCTGCCTTGCAAGCAGGCCGTCATGAGTTCGATCCCTGGTATCGATAAAAAGGAAAAAGACCAAAAAAATAAAACAAAATAAAAACAAATAAAAATATCATCAAAAAGAAAATGACAGGACCAGTTCAGGAGGTCCAAAAATCCAACAAGCACTGCAGGAAAAAGGGATAGAGAAACCAGGTGGGATTAACCATGTGGGATTAATTTGAAGAAAAGACCTCACTGAAGAGTATGAGTTGTCACACTTTCTAGGACACAATAAATACCCAGGCCTGAAAACAGAGCAAAGACACAAATGAAATTTGTCCTCACTGTGTTTTTGGGCCTGAGTATTTCTGGAGACTAAAACGAATCTATAAACTGCCAAAAGAAAAAAAACAGGTCATGTGTTTAGAAAGAAACACACAGAATGCTTCTAACCTTTCTCTCAATCGGTTGGGAGTACAGTGATAGTCACTTTATTATTTCTAAACTACACACACACATATGCATACTTTTTTTTTTTTGTCTTTTTCTTTTTTATGGGTACCGGAGATCGAACTCAGGACAGCCTGCTTGCAAGGCAGGCGCTTATGCCGCTGAGCTAAATCCCCAGCCCCTTGCATATTATTTTTTATGCCAAGGATCAAACCCAGAGCCTCAAGCACACTAGGCAAGTGTCTATTACTGAGCTATACATTCTGCCTATACATTATCTGTTGTCTTAGTTACTTTCCTCATTCATGAGACAAAATACTTGACACTCAAAATTATGGAACAACTTATTTTGTAGAGTGGCAAGGCAGACAGGCATCACAGAGCAGAAACATTCACAGCAGTCAGAAGACAGCAAAAGCAAGCAAGCAACAAGCCCATTTCTGTCCAGACTAAGTAGCACTCATACCCTTAATCCTAGCATTACACAGTGAATCCTAGCATTCCACCCTTAACCCTAGCATTGTAACACACTCTAGCCACCTCTAGAAAGTTCCACCTATGTGGTTCCACCTATGACCACATGAGGCTTTGAGGATATATCTAGACACAAGTCACAACTTCTGGAAATGTATGTTTCACAATTTTTAAAAAATTAAAATGGTAAACCTACTCTGCCTCTAATTTCACATTCTGTGACAACCAAAAATTAACAGCTTGATAAGAACCTTTCTCCTCAATCTTTTTCTTGCTCACCCAACGATTATATAAATATAGTACTGATATTCATTTCATGATTATTTTTTAAATTATACATACACACATACACACACACACACACACACACACACACACTATGCTGGGGATCAAACCCAGCAGTTACACAAACAGGTATTACAATCTCTGTTTATTTTCATAAAAATTGACTCATGCAGTAAATTTTATCCACTTTTTTTTTAATGACATATCATGGAGAATTCTTTATGTCAGCAACATTTCTTTATGTCAGCAGGCACAAATCTCTTTAAACTTTACCTAAAAATTTAATATATCCCATTGAGATTAATAAACCACATTCTCACCATAAAAGATTTATAGACCATTTCTCATCAAAATATGATAAAATTAGAAATATAAATACATTAAATAATATGGCAATAAAAATCTTTAATTTAGTTGGAAAATAAACACAGCCTTTGCATCAGATTGACATCAAAACAAATTTAGAATTGAGTTTGCAAACTCATACCTTATACTGCCAGTCAAATGTTTAAAATACATCACTGGCTAAAGGTGATTGCGTATAACATTCAGGAGGTGGCAGGGCCTGTGGTAAACGGAGAACTCAAATTTCAAAAGCCAATGGAAATTCAATCTAACTAAAACAGTCTTATAAACATCAGGTTTTTGTAAAGTTCTTTTTAAAAAATCAAAACCTCTCGAGCACAAAGGAATGTTTACAATCTATGTGTTTTTTTCTATTTTTAAATAGCATATAAATGAACTAGTAGAGAAAAGAACAAAAAAATAGAGGTGAGGGTATAGTTCAGTAATAATAAATTCGTGGTTCACACCCACAAGACCCTGGGTTTAATCCCCAGCACCAACAAGGAAAAAAAAGAATGAAGCAAAGAAAGAAAAAATAAATTACAAAAGCTAAATCAAAATAAAATATAAGATAAAGATCAAAACTGTAAAATGTAGGAAAAGCAACTTCTGAAAATGGTTATTTATAAAATACATTAGAATAGAAAAACCTATGAAAAGCTATAAACATTACTTATAAATACAATGGAAAATGAATAAAGAAAAGACTAAGTTATATATGGATGGGAATATCACACAATAAACAATTTTCTCAAAATTAACCCGTAACATCAAAGAAATCCTGTTCCAAATACCAAAAAAAATTGCTCTGAATCCTGAAAAAATGATTCTAAAACTTACATGAAAGAATAAATACAGAAAAGTTACTGTGACTATTTGAAGGAAACAATAACAACAAAGAAAAGAAATCTGGGCCACAGAGCTATAATAATGTAAACAGTTCAGTATTGCCACAGACTTAGAAATACTGGTCAACGAAGTAGAATCCAGTACTATACTCAGAGACACTTTTGGGTACATAAAAAGTTTGCGGGCGGGCTGGGGATTTAGCTCAGCGGCGTAAGCGCCTGCCTGGCAAGCGTGAGGTCGTAAATTCAGTCCCTGGTACCATAAAAAAAAAAAAAAAGTTTGCATATGACTACGGTGACATTTCAACTCAGAAAAAGTAGTCAGAAAATAGTGCAGGGACAATAGATTATCCATGAGTAGAGGCAGTTAGAGTTTATCTTATACTATATGCACAAAAAACATTGTATTACAATAACAATAAAAAGAAAGTACACAAGAATATGTTTATAGGGGCTGGGGATTTAGCTCAGCGGCATAAGTGCCTGCCTTGCTAGCAGGCAGTCGTGAGTTCGATCCCGGGTACTGATAAAAAGGAAAAAGACAAAAAAAAAAGAATATGTTTATGATCCTGGGATGGAGAAGGGCTTCTAAGAGACACTGCAAACAAAAGACTGACCAGCAAGTAGAGTACATTATGTTTTGAAATGAAAATCTAAGAATTCATAAGGATATTCAAAGTACATATCAAAAATTCACCTGTCATCATGATTTGAGGTGGCTTACAACTACTTATTTTGAAATTGGTACTGTACTTAAAGATTAAAAATTGAATGTTTATCTGATTTTCCAGTAAGAATATAATCAGAAATAGCCTCTGCTGATGAGGAAATTCTAACTGTATTGAAGAATGCTAACTAATAAATGTAGAAGAAATGATAAAAATTTAACATTTTCATTCAAAACCCTAAAGAGATTTATCCAGCTGACCCGTATAGTGTACAACTTCAATCCAGCACTAGAAAAGCTAAGGTAGAGGGATTGTGAACTTGTGGCCAGGCTTTAAGACATATGGAGACCCTGTCTCAAAAACAAAAGCCAAGAAAGGGAGAAGAAAAAAAGAATGGAAGAAGGTGGGAACAAGAGCAAAGAGTAAAAATGACTGACACAAAGAATTAAACCATGATAAAACCACGGTGAATAGATATCAGTATACATTACACAGACTTTTCTAATTATAAGCGGGAATTTACAAGGTCCGGGCACTAAACACAGAGGCCAATCTTAAAATTGGTAACAGTGGTAGAAACTGGTATTAGAACAACTTCTATGATATATTCCCCAAAGTATTTACTACGAATCTAGTCTTGCATTTATGCAGTTGACCAAATATGCAAGGGGAATGGGCCAGGCATGGTGATACACATGTGTAATCCCAGCTACTTGGGAAGCTGAGGCAAGAGGATTAAGTTCAAACCAGGTGTAGACAACTTAGTGAGATCTTGTCTCAAAATACAAAAATAAAAAGGGTCCAGCTCAGTGCTCCCTGGGTTTAATTCCCAGTACCATTCATAAAAAAAAAAAGGCCAAGAAACACCCACCAAGAAGAAAAATAAACCTAAAATAGTGTCATGAGAAAATAGGTCCAATAAAGTAAGAAACCTTACTCTGATGGGCAAATCACACAACCTCTTCAGCAAATAAGTAGCAGGAAAATACAGACTGTCTCATATTTTCAAAATAAAAGACTTAAGGGTTAATACAACCAAATGCAATGCACAGTTCTCAACTGGGTCTTACTTGGATGTAATTAATTATACAAGACATTTTCAAACCAACTGTGCTATCTGAACATGAATGGATACTACCCCATATTAAGAAATCAGAATTAATTTTGTCAGGTACAATCTTATTTTATCCCAAAAGATTTAATGGTGACCAGGTATGATGTCTGAAATTCACATTGAAATAGGTCAACCCAAAGTAGAATTGAAGGAAAAAAATACTGTATAAAGATTCACAATTTACCATCTACATTTAAAATGTCCTCCCCAAAAACCTTCCAATAGACAAGAAGGACTAGTTGCAAAAGAATGTATTAAAAGACGTGTTTGGCTTTTCACGGAGGTAAACAAGGGCAAAACTGACTGAGCAATCATACAATAATGTCTATTATACTTGGTACAAACAATAGAGAGGACACTATTTTATGTATGCAGAGTTTCTAGATTTATAAATTCAAGAAAACTTCCCAAAATACAACCCTGTTTTGTTTGATAAAACTGGACACATTATCAATTATCACAATTTTCTATACCTCTAATAAACAGAAAAATAGAAAGCCTACTTTAATCAAATTAGTGACAAAACACATATATATGAATATAAATAAATGTCTAGAAATAAACAGGGTCAATTAAAAAAAATCTATGTAAAAAAGTAAAGATATATAAACCTAAATACATGTGTTACATGTTTAATCAGGAAACCAACAGGACTTTTTAGAACTATAAAGAAATTATGTTTAAGATCTTATGGAAAAATTAATGTCTATAAATAGGGAACTTTTTTAAAAAACAGTATGTTTATTACCATAAAGTTACCATCGTCAAAGCTATTTGGAATTAGAACAGACACAAAAGAAAGTCTAGAAATCCAGATACACGTGGGAATTCAATGTAAGATAAAATGGGCTTTTTAATTTAAAAAAAAATGCATTCTTTTCTGGAAGGGGCTGTGTACTGGGAACCAAACTCACGAGATTACACTTGTCAGGTAGGTGGCTTATGCTGCTGAGTTATATTCCCCGCCCTAGTGAGTATGTTTTTCTGGAAAATGATCCTATGTTCCTTTGTATTCCTTTTGTTTTGTTGGGGGTTTTTTGTTTGTTTGTTACCAGGATCAAATTCACAATCTCATGCTTGCCAGGCAGGCAGGCACTTATGCTGCTGAGCTAAATCCTGAGCCCAAAAGATGCCTTAACAAATGGTACTAACATAACTGACCATGCAGCTAGAAGAAAATCCACCTACACTACATAAAAACTTAATTCATGTAGATCCAAAATGTCTATTGACAAAATAAAATATACTATATAAACCTAATCTATCTCTTCATATATAAAAAACTAAAACAATGAAAATGTTCCTGTTATGCATGGTAGCACCTGTCTATAAATCCAGGTACAGCAGGTTGAGATAAGAACACTGAGACTTCCAGGGCAGCCTGACCAATGCAGTGAGGTCCTATTAAAAAAAAAAAAAATTTAGACTGTATAAATTAAATAAACTAAAATAACAAGAATAATAATTTAACAGTATTGAGACTGAATTTAACAGTATTGAATATAACAGTATTGAGATTGTTAAAGAACACTGAGCTACACCAATTTATATGATTTTGGTCAAGACATTAAATTTACTTGTGTAGAAGTTTCTTTACCTATAAAATTAAGATGGTTATATTGATAGTATCAATCTTGAAATTTATTGTGAAGCTCAGACATAACTTACTAAAAATTATAGGGCAGAGTACTTGATGTATAGTAGGTGACCAAGCATGAGAAATATTACTAAGAATCAGTATACACACACGGAGTGTCATACCACACCCCCAGCATCTTTCTTCCCTAGAGCCTTAAGGTCAAAGAGTAAAATGCTCCCAAGCTACTATACTAGTTACATCAGTCAAGGGACACAGAGAGTTCCCTGAACTCCAATCTCATAAACCAAATTCCACTTTTGGCTCTCAAATTTAAGATAAACAGAACTAAACTCCCCTCAATCCAATTCTCAGACATTCTTTCCTTCTCAAGACATGGTAATTGCACACTTGTACATGTTAAAGCCAAAAATCTTAGGGTTAAGCTGGGCATGGTGGCACACTAACAGAGGCTAAAGCAGGATTTCAAGTTAAGATCCATAAGATCCAGTCTTTTTTTTTTTTTCTTTTTTTTTTATTATCGGTACCGGGGATCGAACTCACGACCGCCTGCTTGCAAGGCAGGTGCTTATGCCGCTGAGCTAAATCCCCAGGCCCCAAGATCCAGTCTTAAACTGAAAAAATAAAAAAGGCTAGGGATGTAGTTCAGTGCAAGGTTACTGGATTCTACTGAACTACTAAAAGAATAAACCTTAACCTTCGGCTGGGGATGCAGCTCAATGATACAGTGCTTGAAAGCACGTGAGAACATACGTGGCCCATGGCACTACAAAACAAAACAAAATACAAACAAAAACCTTGGAATTATTCTTGTCTTCTCTCCTCCTCTGAGACCTACAGTATCAGGTTATCACCTGAGCTCCACTGTGCAAACTGATGAGAAAAAAATTTGACCACTCATCATTTCCACCATTCTCCCTCTTTCCTAGGCCAGATGGCCACTCTTGGAACTTAACTGGCTTCCTTGGTTCCCTCCTGGCACTTTGTTTTCCACGCACTAGGTAGCCCTTATAGTCCTCCAAAAATATTGTCAGTCACTCCTTCCTTCCTTTCAGGTTTCTGATCAAAGGTCACCTTAAGTGTACTCTTGCCCAAAGCATATTTATTTAAATCCTTCCTTTTGTTTGCACATCCTCTTCCTTACTCTGCTTCATCCTGTCCACATCACTTTGGTGCACTGTTTAGGGGCAAGACACTCTTTTTCATTCATAGCTATATTCTCAATGCCCAGAAAAGTGATTTAAATATAGGACTACATTCAATAAAGAATTCTGAAAAGTCTTAGGTAATCTCTTTAGAATGGTGCCCTCTCTACCAAATTATGTTACCTAAGACAATGTAAATGCATCTAAAGGCAAACAAAAAATGTTACACAGTTGCTTTATCAAAAGATTTCATAAACGATATCCCAATAAAGTATCTTCATAAAACAACTCCTCGAAGTAAACTTAAAAGTGAAACTGATTTACTCTGCAAAACATTTTACTGCTTTTTGTTCCAGAACAGTAGTTTTACAGCGTCGGTGAACTAAAAGCCACCGGAAGTGGCTCACCATTAATTTAAATGCGGTTGTTTTTAATAATTTCCTTGACTCTTCACTGATGAACTTCCTTTTTTCAGAATTAATCAACTAAAGTTTCATTCCGGGTTTTAAATTATAATTTTAATCAAGTAATTTTTATATAATTTCTAAAAATACACAAGGAAAATGTAGACACTTAGATCAACGTGGTTTTTTATAAATATTGTCATCAGTGAAGTGCTTGTTGCTCTCATTCTGCCAGAGGAAAACAGGACCTAACAGAAATAAACCTGTTGCTTAAATTCAAAAGCCTGGCATGTCCAATCAGTTCACAAATAGAATACTGTTAGGTTGCCATGCCTGACCATCTTTCTTCCAAACCAAAAACGATGCCATTTTAATTGATGAAAAGTCACTGCTTACATTTTGTATAATTACATTTTGATGATATACAAACAAAAAGCCTAATCTCTAATAATCGTTTATCCCGTACCATCGCCTAAAAAATTAGAGAGAAAAAAATCTAATTCCTATGAACGGAGAAAAACAACGGGAAAAGCTGGCGTAATGCGATGTACTTCACTGCCAGGACCTGAATAAGACGAGGGAATTCTGCTCGCAAAAGCAGCAGGGTCTGTGATTCTGCTCATCAACCCGCCGACTCTGAGGCCCAGTGGCTAAAGGTGACGCAACTGCGAGCCATAGCAACAGACAGCCTTGACAACAGCCGGGGGCGTCGACAAGAGACAGCTAAGACAACAAAGTAAGACGCCAGGTGAGTGTGGACCTAGCCAGACAGACTAGGGAGTAAGTGCTACAGCCTGAAAAGGTGGACACTATCGGAGAATCCAGGAGAGCAAGAAAGCAAATGCGAGGAACGCAGTCGTCACACCCCGACCCAGTCGGAAGCGCAAAGGGACCGGGCAGCGCAGAGACAAGGAAGGATGAGGGGCGACGAGGGAAACGGCCCAAGGCAGCGTGTGGCAGCACTCACCAGGGTCATTCCAGCACAGCGCAGGGCTCGCCAACAGCAGAAGCACAAGCAGGCCGAGGGGCTGGCAGAGCCCGGCCGCCTCTGGCGCGCCAGTCAGGGCCATGGCGCTCGGTGAAGATGACGCGCGTCTGTTGGGCGCCCGCAGGCCCGCGGCGGGCCGCGGAAGTTCTCGCGCCGCTGTGCAACGACGCCAGACACCGCCAGCGGGAGACGAAGGGCTGATGGCACCGTCGCAGCCGCCGCGCGCGCAGCTACTCCGTCACTCCCGCAGCGACGCGTGGCTAGCCGTGAGTGGCTGCTGTCGGGCCCGCCCCTGGGGCTCGCGGTTTAGGGGCGGGGCCAGGGGTGCTGGGTGGGGCTAAAATGTGTGCAAGGAACCGAAGGCCAAAACCGACGCTCCAAGTGGGTCTTCACCTTAAAAGATTAAATTGTCTTGGATTTGCTCCAAAATAATGGGAAGAAAAAAATAATGTAGGGATGGAGAAAGTGGATGGGGCGCATAAATAAAACACTGACCATATGGTGAGATCTGAAGGTAGCTAATGGTACGTGGGAGTTCATTATATTACTTTTATACATAGTATTTCAATTTTGGCACAATAAAAAAATTTTAAATTTTCCCTGAGTTGATCTGTAAGGGTTTATAATTCCCTGTTTACAAGTTGTGGAAAAGGTAAAAATCAGACAAATCTTAAAGCACCAAGAATTTAGCAGCTGCTCAATAATCAAAAAGACTTTCTTACCTCATCTCTGAATTAATTTTGGCAATTAAGCCATCTTTTGAAAAGCGTTGAGTCTATAAAACATAGCATGGACTCACTTTATTAACATTATCTACAGAATATTAAAAGGATATAACAGTGTTTAGTGTTCACTTTGAGAACTGCTTTTAAAATGCCTTCCAACTTTCTACTTTTTTTCAGAGAATGATTTTCAAACTTCAGTTTCCAGAGCAGTTGTTTGCAATACATGTGGCTCGGCTCACAAAAGTTGTAAGAAGACCTGGAGTGGGACCCAAGAACTTGAGAAACACCCTAACAAATTTGTTGTAAGTGATCTTTGAAAATGCAATACTGGGAAACACTGTTTGAAGGTCTCAAGTTATTGGTCCCTAGACAGCATCTTCAAATGATAAGCTTCCCTGTTAAAAACACGGAGCATCTCTTGGGAATGATAAAGGAATACAATCTCCTAGAATTCTGTGACCATGGAAACAATAGACTACATAGAACCTTCTGACAAAATAAACAATCTAAGTTGCCCACTGATACCATCAGAAACAACCATAATACCCAACATATTTGCATTCAAAAGAGTAAATTATTGACTACCAATTAACCTCTGGGGTTTGTGGAAGCTAAATTTTAAAAGCTTCCGTAAATACGATCTTTTCTCAGGAGCCAAGCTACACGTAAGTCTTAAGATACAAACCTATCATTTTGTACTACCAGTAATCACTACTGATCAGTTGTTTCTCACCACAGATCAGCAGTTTTCCCTCAACCATCCCTCCTTTCAAAGATGGAATACTATGGTACAAAACAAGAACAGATGTTGTGGCAACATTTAAAAGGAATCATTTACTTTTCCAGGCATTCTACTTAGTTTCCTGTTACTGTAACAAACCGGGTAATTTGTAAAGGAACAGAGATGCAACTGGTGAAGGCTGCCTTGTGCATCATAATGTGGCCCTACATACTGAGAAAGAACAAGAAAGATGAAACTTGTAGCCTCAGACCTGAATCCACTCTTGAGAGTAGAGCTCTCATGACCTAGGGACTCAATTCCAGCACATGCTTTGAGGGAACACATTTCAACTGCAGTGCCTCCCTACTCTGTTCAAGACTACTGGGGAGATGGATGTGAGACAGATGTGTATAAACTACTGTGTCAGTGATTTAGGAAAGGGAGCTAGAAATTCACAGCTTCTGTCTAAACACATTTTCATGGCATGTATTCAAATGCACCTCATGTTTCTGCATCCACAATCCTTAAATGAAAACACACTGTGTTCATGATACAGGAAAGTGATTATAGAACTTTTTACACTAACTTGAATAGGAAAAAAAACTTTTTCCCCACAAGCTAACCTGTAGATTTAGCTGAGACATTAAGCCTTGAGAAGTGATCTGGTTTAAAAACAACAAGAGTAATTCGACCCTGGAAACAAAAGGAAGCAGAGCAGACAATGCCTTAAAAAGTCTTACATGTCAGTTTACTTATGCCTAATGAGAGCTTAGAAAATTCACATCTTTTGTCACTCACTTCCACTTGCCACCTTTAATATCCTTTTAAAAATTTTTTTCATTGCTCAAAGAGAACTCCCTAAATAGGATCCATACAACCCTGAGCAATCCCATTGGCATGTTTTCTCCAACACACAAAGCTCCTAGTTGCCAAAATTCACCCCCTCAAAACACATACAGGCCACTCCAGGCCCATGATGGCTGTTTCCTTTTCTCCTAGTTACACAGTCATTACTTCTGTTCACCCCTCTACTGGGGAGAAATGTTACCTGGCAGATCCAAATCAAAGGCTTCATAGAACTGTGTACGTACCCATTTTTCCTAGCAGTAGAAATGGATAAAACTTCTTTATCCCCCTATAGCTAGTAACATAGCCCTTTAATGTGAAATTTGAATAAATATTATCTATTTTCTTTTTTTTTTTAATCAGTACCAGGGATCGAACTCACGACTGCCTGTTTGCAAGGCAGGTGCTTATGCCGCTGAGCTAAATCCCCAGCCCCTGATATTATCTATTTTCCAGGGGAAAAAAACTACCCTCTTAAATTCAGTGGTTTGGACGGTGAGTTAAGCCGAAAAAATACAGATTAGTAGAGAAGAGTTTATTTTGTATACAACATGAGACTTCACAATAAAAAGGAAGAAGTTGTTAAGGCCTCAGAGCACCTGTTACCACTTTGACAAAGGTCAATGCAGGGTAGAAAACTGACTAGACAAAGGAGTCTGTTCTAAGGACAATGAATTGTGCTGATTAATACATGAAGAAAGCTAATGAAAAGTACAGATTTAGTAATGTTTATGCACAAATTAATGCTGTTTGCATTTCTACTCTTCCTAATCAGGCAAATAGAAATGTTTACAAATGGAAAGATCTGCATTACAATTTTTTGTTTTTAACCTATACAGGTTTATGTCACGTTTAAATGGGAAACTTACACACTGCTGTTTGTTTTTGGACAAAGGGGAAAAGCAAAGAGCTCCTCCTGTAACCGCAGTTTCATGTCTTGCAACTCAAAGTAATCCTTTGTCAAAATACCATGTTTTGAAGTAGCTTGCTCTGATCTCCTTTACTAGCAATTACCGTAATTTACACTTTTTTTGTGTGTTTACCTCCCCCTCTACCCAGCAAGCAACAGAGGGCCTAAACTGCACATGGCTTTGATCACCCCAGTGCCTCCCCATTTCCCAACAAGTAGTTTGTTATTTATTAAATGATTAATAAACACATTGGACCTCTGCTTCTTTCTTTTACTATCATGAAGAGGGCGAGTTCATGTTTCCAGAGGATTGCATTTGTTTTAAACCCACACTTAACGGGGCCCTGCTATTCCTGTCTGTGGAGAACTCCTCATCAGAGCTCTAACTCTGTGTAAGAAACAGAGGAGCCGATCGCAGACTACCCAAGCTCACTTCCCGAGTATTACAGGCTGGATGAGGGAGAGAAACAGGAGCTTTAAACAACGTAAATTATCCCCCAACACCGCAAGCCTGCAGAGGTCGACCGCTGCTCGCACTCCCCTCGCAGAGAACGCCGGCGGCTGCAGCGCCCAGGACGCGGGAATCCGCACCCGGCTTCCACCCGATCCGGACGGACCCCGGGGCGGCGCGGACCGGGCGGGAACCCGCGGTGGGGACCATCGCAGAGACGCCCTGAACCGAGAGCGGTCGGCCCCCACCGAGGCCGGCGCCCCCCCCCCCCCCGCAGCCCCGCGCGAGCACGAGCGGCCGGCGGAAGTGCTGCGTCGCGCACTTCCGGGTGTTGTCTGGCCGCCGCCGCCGCGCGTCTCTGGTTTCCCGGCCGCTGCCGCCCCCGCCGCCTCGGGTAGTGGAGCCAGAAGCAGCGTCACCGCCACCGCCATGGCCGGCATCAAAGGTGGGCCTGGGGAGCGGGATGCAGGAGCGGGCGGTGCCCGAGAGTAGGCGGCGGGGACGGGGGCGCGGGCCCGCGCACGCCCCTGTCCTCTCCGGGCCGCGGCGGGCGGACGTGGGTGCAGCCCTGGGGGGCGGGACGGCCCGGGCGGCGGCGTCGCGCGGCAGCCCCGGGCTCTGCCGATTCGGGCGGCCGCCCCTCGGGCGGGGACCGAAGCGCTGGCATGGGACCGGAGTCCACGACGACGCGGGCCGCCAGACACGACAGGAGTTTGAGAGACAAGAGAGATAGACCGGGACGCGCCGAGTGTGGTTTCTGCGGGGCGAGGCCGCTAGGGAAGATCAGTTGTTCTCTGCTTAAGCTTAGGTGCAATTCTAGGGTGCTGTGCGCCCACGAATAGCTCAGGGGTGGTTCTTTCCGAAAGCTCGTGATCCGAATCCTCTAAATCTGTGCTGCCTATGCCTTGTTGTAGGTAGTGGACCCCCGGGCAACCCCTGAGTCCTGGCTCCCTCCCTTCTCTACATTTGTAAGTTGAGGCTTTTCACATGTAGGAGTTTGTTGTTTCTTTAAAAGGTTAAAGTAGTTACAACTATGAAAAATTACTTGTTTATTGATACGTTTTCTTTAGGAAATGTTGCATCCGTTTTAACTGTTCGGCAATTATGTTGTCAATGGAATTTGAAGCAGTTTTTTGTTTACTTCTTAACAAATTACATTGACCTACCACTTTGGAAGAGGCAGTCAAGCAGAGTGAACGACTTGGATAGTGATGTTTTTCCGTAGTTTGATTTCCGCCCCCATTAAAATCGACCTTAGTTGAAACTGCTTTCTCAGTCACATTTTTTAAATTTTGTGTCTAAAAACACTTTATTTTCTGTATAAAATCCTGTCATTTGAATAACTGGGATTCTTTTTAATCTCCTTATGAGCCGTAGTGGATCCTTTTAAATTTTTATGTGGATGGGAGTTACTGTAAAACTCTTGAGGCTTTAGGATGTTGCGTTTTTCCATTTCTTCAATGTCATTAGTAGGAGAGTCACTCTCAGAAAAGTTTAATAATTTCATTCTTAAAGTCTAAGTAGATATTATTAAGGTGAAAGTGCCTAAGGTAGAATTGTACTTTTATTTTTGGTTTCAGTACGATTTTATGGTTGTGATAGTTCATCAAGATGTTACTTCCTGTTGGATTATCATCTTTATATGACGTATTGCTATAATTAAGAGAGCGTTATGCATTTCTTGAACCACTTGCCTATTTTTATTTATTTATTATTTATTTATTTAGAGACAAGGTCTTCCTACGTAGTTCAGGCAGGCCTTGCACTCACTATATAGCCCAGGCTGGTCTTGAATTGTGGCTCCCAATTATAGATGTGCACCGCCGTGGCAGCTTCCTTTTGATACACTGGATCTTCTGAAAACTCGAAAGCTCACAGAGAACTGGCCTCTTTTACTCAAACTGCTTTGTAATCATAGAACCAACCAACACTTTGTCACTAGAGCATTTTGCTAGATAATTGGAGCATTCAATCTCTACCCTAAAGCCTTGGGAGGAGAAGTCAGGCTAATGTAAATTTTGTCTTCCAAATATTGCATCACTTAGTTACTATACAATTTCTTACCTTGTCGATGTGTCATTTAAGACACATCATTCTAATTTCATAAGACTGAAGAAACCTTACAGGTTTTGAGAACATTTTTGAGCAATTTATTTAATCTTTGTCTTATCTGGTATGACTGGAAGATGTCACATAAAATAGTTTTTCACCGTCTTTTTTTTCTTTTTTCTTTTTTTTTTCTTCATGTCAGATGGGTAATGTGCGGAGGTCGTAACAAGGTTGAAAGGAGGCACATGTCATGCATAGAGCATGAACACCCAATCATCACGCTTATGAAGCTGAGGATCTTGACCATCTTTTCAATCTTGAGTGTTGAATGGAATTATCCCTGGATATCTTGATTCCCCCAAACATTTTATCATTATATCATTATACAGTAGCCTTTCAAAGGAATTGGATTCTGGGATGTAAATAAATGTATTAATAATTTTTCTAGAATTAAAATTAATGGAAGTTGTAATAAAACCATGTTCATTTATATTTTAAAAATTGTTTTTTGATACCTGAACCTCGTATCTGTTAGGTCCTTGAGGGTTTTTTGTTTCTGAGACATTCTCTATGCAATGTAGGGGGCTTGACCTCACTTTGTAGCCCTGTCTGGCCTCAAACTTGCTGTGATCCTCCTGCCTCAGCCTGCTGAGGGGTGTGATTATACACACGTCCCACTATGCCGAGCTAGATAATTCTTTAAAATGATTTTTTTTTTTTACTATAGTTGAATTCACATCCAACAGTTGTGTCACAAAAATGAGTAACTTCTGAGTAAAAGCTTTAAGGTGTGCCTGCAGAAATTGTTACTTGTAATGTATGGGCTTTGTGACAACTATTTTATCTCTCTGTGGTGGCCTTTGCTTCCTTTGGATTGTACACTGTGTTCCAGGTAGATGTCTTCTGAATAAATGAAGTGACACTGTGTAGTATTTAGTGAACTTAGGTGGTTGGAACCGATTTCAGGGGGTGGAGGAATGCAGCTGGGGCCATAGCTCTGGTAGATACCTTGTCTACCGTCAACAAGAGCCTGAGATGTTTTTTATTTTTTCAGAATGTCTTTTAATAACAGTCAGAATTTTTTGCCTTTCCGATCGAGTATCTCATTTTAGGAAGAACTGAGAAGTTTTCTTTTTTTGATTTTTTTCTGTTTGTTTGTTTTTTATCTTTTTCCTTTTTATCTGTACCAGGGATCTAACTCATGACTGCCTGCTTGCAAGGCAGGCGCTTATGCTGCTGAGCTAAATCCCCAGCCCCTGAAGAACTGAGAGTTTTATAAGTTTTGTAGATAATTATTAGTGGCCAGTAAGAACCAGGACCCAGTAGCTGATAACTTTCAATTCTGTGCCGTCCCATTCAGCTACATTCATTCTACAGTTACTGGTAATTGAGTGTAGAGTTGAGACATGGGCATCAACAACAGGAAAACTTGCTCCCTCCTCTCCACAGTCGAGAAGGAAACACACATATACTGAAAATCATTATGAAATTGCAGCCATGATAACTGAGCAAGGAGGCATGCAGTACAAAGAAGGCATCAGCTGCACTGCTGCCCCAAACCCCCATATGGTTTACTCCCTGTTTTCTTGGGACTGCCTGAATGGCGCCTAATGAGTCACTTCTCCAGACTACCCCATCTACACTTGCATTTTCTTCCCTTACCTAACCTGGTTTGATTTTTTGTTTTGTTTTTTCCTTATCATTGGACATTTATTGGTTCACTTTTTTAAAAATCATTTTGGGTACCCACAGAATGGAACCCCCATGAAATCAAGAGCTTTGATTTATTTTTTTAGTCGCTCTGACTTCACTAGCAAGAACAATGTGTGACACTTAGACGTCTGTTCAGTTATGAATAAATTATGTAGGCAGAATTCTCCTAGTCAGAGATTTGGAAGAGTTCGCTGAGGGAGAGATGATGGAGCTGGGAGGTGAAGGAAAGTTGGAATTAAGTTGGAGGAAGATGGGAGGAGTGGAGCAAGAATGCAAACTCAGTGAGCTCAAATAGGCCACAACACCCATTACAACTTTGATTCAGTAAATCTGTGGGGAATGAGGAGAAACTGAGGTAGAAAAGACAATATGTGCAGAGGCCATGCAGGTAAGAGCCATCTGAGTCCCGGGAAAGTCAAGGTGGCTGGGCGGCTGGCTGGTGTGACATGCAGAAAGGGAGGCAGGCAGGGCTGGATCCTTTGGACCTGTTCTAAACTAAAGAGAACAAAGGATAAGCTCGGTATTTTCCTAACAGTTTATGGTGCATTTACTTGTAAAGCTGAAGTGTTTTGTTTGCGATAAAGTGAAATGTTTATTTCTTTTTTCCCCTGTTAGCTGAAAATATAATGAATAACATTAAGGACTAAATAAACAAGGTCAGGATTATTGGACCTACAGCAGTGATCCAGCTAAAAACCTAATCTGCCAAGCTGCCACGTCTATGGGTGTCCTTAATTATGACCATTTTAGTTCTGAAATGTGCACCCATAGTATTTGGCAGTGTTTAACCGATTTTCTATTAACTTTGGTGTGTATATATTAGCTTTTGTCTTTACAATTTTTAGATCTTTTACATTTTTTGAATTTTAACTTTTTGCTTAGGCTTAACAGGCTGTATCATTTAAAAAGGAAAAATAATTATCTTTAAGTTGATAATGTCTTATATCTGTCATTGATAAACTGTCTACTCAAGGAAGCTATTTTTACTTACTAACTGCTTGAAAGCACTGTACAATACTCTGCTGTGTATAGCTTTAGAAACTATATTTCACCTGTAGAATGCATCTGTCTTCAAATAGTGCAGTAAAATAATGACCCCCCCCAAGAGTTTTGCCTACCCCTTATTGTATAGATTTGTATTTAGGAAATTAGTGGCAGAACCCCAGCTATAGTTTGGCAAACTGTGAAATCATTAACCATAGATACTTTGAACTTTTTCCCCATCTGTTTTTGGTTTTCTGTTTGTTTTAAAATGGGAATCTTGTCGCATTGCCTTGTTGGACCTCAACTCTTGGTCTCCAGAGACCCTCTTGCTTTAGCCTCCCAAGTAGCTAGGGGTACAAGTACATGACAATGCACTTGTCATATGATTGAGAGACGTTTTTCCATAGGATGAGTGTTCTAAAGTCCAGTAAAGAGAATGTAGATTTTTTTCTGTTAGTCATTTTTGGAAACCATAATGGAGTGAATAATAACACTGATACCTGGAAGGCCTTGATCCCATGGGCTGTGTGTGATACTTAATACAAAGGGAACAGTTGGGGAGGGGGGATATGCCAGCAGTAGGTAAGGCTCTGAAAACAGTATGAGTTGAGTGTCCCTTACTGAAAACACAATCAAAATGTTTTCGATTTTAGATTTTTTTTTAAATTTTGGAATATTTGCGTACATCTAATGGGATGTGTTGAGGATGGAACCTAAGTCTAAATACAAAGTACATTTGTGCTTCACATATATGGCCTTAAGGTAATTTTGTACAAAATCTGTAATAATAATTATCTTCAGACTTTTTTACCGGGTATCTTCAGACTTTTGAACATATATTATAGATTTCAGTTTTCAGGTTAAGGATGGTATGCAGCCTGTATGACATTATCAGTACTGACGATGCCACAGAAGTTTTATTCTTCTTATGTGACTTCTATTCTTGAAAGGCATGTGTGGTTGTCCATGTGTTTGTGTGTATAGGGTGGGTTGTCTTGCTGAGGATTGAACCCAGGGCCTAAGTTGCCTAGACTGACCTCTTGAACTTGTGATCCTTGCACCTTAGCCCCTGACCAGGTAGGATTACAAATATGTGCTTCTGTGCCTAGCGACAACTCACTTTTAATACATTTAGGTTGGGGAGGTTTTGTTTTGCTTCCAGCATAACTAGTAATGTTCATAGTGCTAACACATTAACAAAAGCAATATTCATATAGTTTAACAGCTGTTATCACTTGGATTTCTTATTTGTTTTGCAGCGCTGATTAGTTTGTCCTTTGGAGGAGCAATTGGGCTGATGTTTTTGATGCTCGGATGTGCGCTTCCAATATACAAGTAGGTGAAATTATTATCTGAGTGTTTAAGGGTAAAATGTTTCTACTTTTGAAGCTGTAAAAATGTTTTATTGTCTAATGTGAAATTAATACAGAGAAACACGAAACACAAACTTTTTTTTAAAAAATCATCACTTAAAATTTATTGGTAAAGATGAGGACACCAAAGTATAGAAAGAAGTTTTTTATTATTATATGCACTTTGACTACTGTGGAATCTATAATAGCAAGGCAATAACTCAAATAGCTCGGTCCTGCTGTTTAGTTTTCAGCATCTGCTTATAATAGTAAATATAAGCAGAGTTAAAAGCAGCATTTACAGAAAACGCCATAAGCAGAGTTAGAACACAGTTGGCTTTAAAAATGGTGTAGACGATGGCTTTTTTTAGGCTAGAAAAAACTTCTTTAAAATTAATATTTAGGTAAATTAAAAAAAGACAGCTCAGTAGAAAAATGAACAATAAACCTGAGAACTACACATTGCTAATAAACACATGAAAATATACTCAACCTACCTCAACACTAAGTTAAATACACTGGCAAAGACAGAATATATGGGTAGGCAGGCACTGCTGTGTACTTTGGTGGGAAATCTAAAATGTAAATAAGTGCAGTTTGCTTAGAGACCAGTTTGCTTGTAGTTCTTTGCCTAGCCTTCTACTTTTTAGACTTTTGCACACAAATCCACTCGCAGTTGTTTGCAAAAATAAATGCAGTTGGGAAAGAGCTTAGGTGTTTTTGATAAGCTTGTTTGTAATAGCAAAAAAAGGAAACCAACGATGTAAATGTGATATTGGTCAAAAGAAAAATGGTTGTGAGGCGTGGCGGTACACACGAGTAATCCCAGCACTCAGGAGGCTGAGGCAGGAGGATCATTGGGAGCTCAAGACCAGGTTGGGTTACACAGTGAGCTCAAGGCCAGCCTAAACTGGGTAGTGAGACCCTGTCTCAGAAAGACAAAGAAAAAAGAAAAAAAATGGTTGAGTTATAGTATGTCCATCTATGAAAATCCTAACAATTCTTAGCAAATAAGGAAGAGTTATAAAGCCGTTATGTATAGATATTTGAAATAATATAAAGTGAAAAACAATGCAGTGATCTAGTTACCCTTATAAACTTTATCTCTATGGAATTATGAAAGTGTAGGCCCAGAAGATAGAGGGAAGTGAGAAAGAAAGCAAGGGAGGTTTGGGGAACTGTTGTTCTTTTGTGCTTTTGTATTGTTTGAAATTTTTCTTAAATATATTCCAACAACTTAAAATGTTTGGGAAATACCTATAAGTATATCTTACTTACCTAAGCCGCTGAGTACAAGCAATCTTCACTATAATACGTGATATATTCTATGGCAGTTTTAAAGGCCATCTATTTCTTTTCAGCTTTTTAGTTTGAAACTATTGTAGATGTTGTAAAAATAGTACAAAAACTTTCCCTGTACCCTTCCACTCCCAGTTGTAATGTCTTACATAACTGTGGTTATCCATGGCAAAAAATGACATTGATGTAACACAGTTACCGTTTTTACTTTAACAAACTTAAATTCTCACTGAAATTCTTGCCAGGTGTGGTGGCCCATGCCTGTAATTCCAGGATTGCTGGGAGTTTGGGGTCAGCCTGGGCTACAAACTGAGTTCAAGGCCAGCCTGAACTGAGTAGCAAGACCTTGTCTCAAAAAGAAAGAAAGAAAGCAAGTCTTTAGTGTTACATTCAGCAAGTTTCCTGTATTTTGGTTTCAGTATTTCGGAAGTTTCTAGTGATAATGAAACCTTAACTAAGGCTTTCTGTTTGTAACTTAAAATGAAATAAGAGAATTTCAAGCCTGGATGCCAACTGTTATATACATATATGTATTAAACTTTTTATTTACTTTTAAAAAGTTGTACTGTGTCATTGATTTGTGAGATACTGTAACTCAGAATGTTTCACGTTTCAATTTTCAGATTTTCACTTTTCATTTGCATCATGTTTGATGTTTTGCAATATTCCTTTGATCCTTATAAAAAGAAAATCATATTTTATATGTTGGAAAATGACATAAATAGCAAAAACTACAATTAACTTGTTTTTCTTTTTCTAGCCAGTACTGGCCCCTCTTTGTTCTGTTTTTTTACGTCCTTTCACCAATTCCATACTGCATAGCAAGAAGATTAGTGGATGATACAGATGCTATGAGTAACGCTTGTAAGGAACTTGCAATATTTCTCACAACAGGCATCGTTGTCTCAGCCTTCGGACTCCCCATTGTATTTGCCAGAGCACATCTGGTGAGTCGATACGCTTTTTTGTGAATATGTCTCAATAGATTGTGTTAACTTCAGGTTTGTTTGTTTATTTTTCTTCGTTGTTTTTGTTTAGATAGGATCTTCCTGTGCATTTCAGGCTGGCCTCGAGCTCACTTTGTAGCCCAGGCTGGTCTTGAAATTGCAACAATCCTTCTCCCTCAGCCTCAGCCTCCCCATGCTGGGATTATAGGCATGCACCACCACATTCGGCTAACTTTAGTTTTTAATGACATAAAATGAGATGAGATACATAGCAGCCTAGAAGATAAAGATACTAGTTTTTTGGTTATTTTTGGTACTAGAGAGCACACTATAGATCTGTAGCAGCACTTGGCTTGCTAATGCCTAGCTATTAGCTCATTCAATGCTGAATAGCCACTGGCCTGCCCTGTGAAATGGAAAACACAAAAGATCTGAGAATTGTATTCTCTGTAGGTGAGAAAGATCTAAAGAGAAGAAAGGGCTAGCCTGCAGATGTGCATTTTTCTTCTCAAACTCATCAACCCAGATTCACCCTGCCATTTCTAGAGAGGTAGGGAAGAAGAGCACTAGCATTTCTAGATTTTTTTTCTAGATTTTTTAAATTTCACTAGGAAAAAGCAAATTTTTATCTAAGCAGAAAACAGTAAGATTCTATGCTGTGGGGCTGAGGATATAGCTCAGTGGCACAAGCCTCTTCCTGGCAAGTACAAAATCCTGAGTTTGATACCTGGTATCAAAAAAAAAAAGTAATTTTTAAGGTTTATTTTAGCCCAGTGTGGAACACTCCTGTAATTGCAGCACTTGGGAGGCTGAAGCTAGAGGATCTTTGCAAGTTCAAGACCAGCCTGGGCTACAAAGCAAGCCCAAGGCCAGCCTGAACTGTATAGCAGGACCTTGTCTCAAAAAGACCAAAAGGAAAAAAAAAATTATATGCTGTGTCACCAGAATCTAGATAAGCTTGTTTTTCAATAATCGTTGTTCATAATTTTCTGCCTTTTTAAAGAAACCAAAGGTAAAAAAATCAACCATCTAAGTATTAAGTGTTCAATGCTGAAAAGCTAACTCAAACCACATTTGCCTAAGATCATGATTGGCATACATCTAGAGTCATTGATTTTTGTTTTTCTTTTATTTTTCCTGTCTGTTAACCAAGTATTTATATCTCATTTCTGTAGATTGAGTGGGGAGCTTGTGCACTTGTTCTCACAGGAAACACTGTCATCTTCGCAACAATACTAGGCTTTTTCTTGGTATTCGGAAGCAATGATGATTTCAGCTGGCAGCAGTGGTGAAAGGAAATTACTGAACTATTGTCAAGTGGACTTCTTGTCATCTGTTGACCATCCGTGCATACAGGAGACGGGGCAGTAATGATCCATGGTGTGGCAAGCCTCTTGGGGGTATCCTAGGTGCTCCCTTCTCACTTTTATTGTATACATATTTTTTTTCAGAGACTTGCTGAAGGATTAAAAGGATTTTCTGTCTTGGAAAAGCTTGACTGATTTCACACATATCTATAGTATGCTTTTTTGTGGTGTCCTGCTGGATTTAAAGATTTATATGTTTTTCTTGTTCAGCTTTTTTTTTAAATCAATATGCAATGTTAAATATTTTTTAAATGTAATAACCATTTGCATTGGCTAGGAATTCAGAATTCTGGCCATATTACTAGGCTGAAGTTTTTTTTTTTCTTAGTTAATCCCCATTATTTTAAACAATTATAAAAGTAAGTTTTCAGGACAATTTTGCTCCCACTTTTATGCAAACATACAGGCAGTTTGGTGTACCTTATAGACTATCTACTCAGTGCAAATACAGCGTATTTATACCTCAGAGGGACCAAGTATTAATGCCCATGCCTTCATTAAGGGTTGCTGGTTTTACTAGTAGATGTTTTGTGAATTGAAAATTATTTTGTGGAATTGTTACAAAGGAGTGCTTTTCTTCTCAAGTGTTAGAGGAATTTATGTTAAACTTTAAGGATGTAAAAACAGATTTTTGAGATGCCATTGTTTATTATAGTCAAAGTAGAGTGAGTTGCAGTGTGGGGGAAAAAAGTTGAAATTCCATTGTTTGAATACTTTTTCTATTTATAAGTGAAATTTTTGATTGGCCTTTTGTGTTTTATCTCGGGTAAAATAGACATACAAGGAACTACTGACGAGGAAAAGTGGTATGTTTGCATCATATATACCAGAAAACCTTCCTCTGCTTCCTCCTCTTAACTTATTTTGTACATTGTATATATTAAGTAAAAGAACTTTTCAAATATAGTTTAATAACACTTAGAAACTCATCTGGAAAATAACTGCTATCCCATACATTAAGTGCCCCTGCCTCGTAAGGCCTTGCCATGATTAACAAGTGACTTGTTAGTCTTGCAAATAATCTGTGCATTAACAATTTAAGATTTAGACCATAGTAAAGGTAGTTCTTATTAGGTTATATCATGTAATCTTAAAATATTTAAGACATGTTTCCTGTATTTGTTTGATTCCATAATAGATGTGCTATTTCCTTATGAAAGATATTTATCAGATGAATTAATACAGAGTAGCCAAATCTAGCTGGGTAGTAGCTTCAGGCACGGACTTGACCAAAAATTCCTAGTAATCAGGCATGATCAAAATGTAGTGGTCATGGGCCTGGGATTTAGCTCAGGGGTTCTAACACTTCCCTGGTGAGGTCATGAGTTTAATCCCCAGTACTTTAAAAAAAAAAAAATGTAGTGATTATTTGCCATCTCATAATTATCAATACCTTTTTTAGGAGCAGGTTATGAAATTTTTCAAGTCGATCTGACAGTATTTTGCTAAGGATATTGTATGTATCTTTAGTATATTTACATAAAAAATTATTTTGCCTTCAGTCATGACAGGTGTATTTTGTTGTTTTAAGTTTATTTCTCAAGAAAATGGGAACAAATTCTGAGCTGTTCAGTTTCTTACTAAAGATGCCTAAAGCTGCCGAGTTTTGTGTTTTTTGTTTCCTGGCTGAACTTTGGTTTCTTTGGCTGTAAGATGGCTGTTAGAAGGAGTATGAAATTTCTACTTGTGGTTGTCCATTTGCCCATTAGGCTGAAAATGGCTTGCCATGTGTAGTGTTCTAGACTTCAAGAGGAAGGTATACATGTGCATGAATTAGCCAGTGGTACAGTTGGAACTCTTTATGCTTGTGGTCTACTGGTTTTTTTTTTTTTTTTTTTTTTTTTAGAAACTACATCGTCTGGTTCTTCCATTTTCTGTTCCTTTAGAATGTCAGTGCAGTGCACTGCTATTTTTATTCGCTTAGCTATAGACTTTTTCTAACAGCTACATATTCTTTCTGTATTCTAATTGCATTGGCAGCATTGTCTCTTTGACCTTGCACACCAGCTTGCCAGTGCTGTCTCTGGTTTCTAGGCTAGTTACTACTTAAGATACGAAGTTTCCATAGAATATGCACTGACACAACATTGTCATTCTTCTATGGAAAGAAAGCTTTTGATGATAAAATAATAAAGATTTTAAATTACACATTTTAGTTTGTGGGTGTTTTTGGAATGAAAGTATATTTTACACTTCAATTCTTGAAGTGGGTTAACCACTTTTAATAATGTGATAGAAAGCAAGTATGCATTAGTGATAGCGTCAGGTGTGCAAAAGTAAAATTGAAACCATAGTAACATATTGCAGTGAAGCTATGCAGAAATAAAGCTGAAACCATAGTAACAAATATCACTACAAAGCCCCATTAATTTGTGTATAAAGGACTGATAATGTGGAAAAGTAGATTTTCATTTGACCTTTTACAAAAACAGTCATGAAAGTTTTGTTGACATAAAAAGTCTACTAATGAACAAAGGTTAACTTATTTATTAAATTTTCAGAATGGTTTTGTGACTTTATGTTTATAGGTTTATTTGTCATTGAAGAATTTTCCTTTTTACAAACATTGCAAACATTAAAGATGTTTTACAATTATTCTGTGATACGGTGGAAACAGAAAAAGTATTATCCTGTCTTTCATCTCAGATTGTTTTAATTATAATCTCTTCATGCATTATTTTTAAAATCTTAGGTTCTCAATGTATGTGCCCTAACATGACTTTGAGAATAATACCAAAATAACCCAGATTCTAAAATATATTCTAGAATATCTACAGTGAGTGGAGGCATAGCACACTGGTAGAGCATATCCCTAGCATGTGCAGAAACCTAGGTTCAATCCCTAGTACTGTTAAAAAAAAAAAAGCAAAACTGGGCATGGTGGTGTATGCCTGTCATCCCAGACATACTTGGGATCAGAAGCTGAAGAGCAACCTGAGCAAGTTAGTGAGACCTCAAAAAAATATTAAAAGGTCTGGGAAGTTTCATATGACTAAATCAGTGCAACAGACTTAACTAGTGCTCATTGCTGTTAAGTAGTAGAAATGTTGTAGAATCCAGGATGCTTTGTCATGTATATATAATTAATTGGCTGGAAATCTAAATTCATAGCTGGTGCTGTCCTTTCACTGATGATTAGGAATTCTTATTTTTCCTGTCAGGTTCTTAATTTTATGGCATTGCCGGGAAAGAAAACATCCTAAAGAGAACAGTGCAGGTAACTGAAATTTAAGTCATTGTGAACTGCTATGGGATTTATTTTAACTATTTGATGAAAATAATAAATGGATCATACACTTGTCATTTCTTACAGTATATTAAAACATTTATTTTGCAGATAATTTAGGGCTTTATGTCATCAGAAATGAACTATTTTTCTGGGTTGTGTTATTCCTGGCTTTTCTTAAAATTGTTCATTCCTAGCACTCCTTAGCTGCTTTTGTTTCTGATTGCTAATTACGGTGTTTAGAAAAAATGGAGTGGGGGGACCAATCTCCTACTTCTTGTACTAATGGAATACTTTGTTCTTCCTACGGAAACACTTTTTTAAAAATCTTTCTTAGTAGCCTGCTAGATAAACCATAGTTGTGGGAGATACAAGATGCATTTCTGTGCTGGAGGCACAGAAGTTCTTTGCACCTTTTTTTTTTTTTTTTTTTTGGTTTGTTGTGTTTTGTTTTGGTCTTTTTGAGACAGGGTTTCACTATGCAGTTTGGGCTGGTCTTAAATCACAGCACTTCTCCTGTCTCAGCCTCCCGAATGCTGGGATTACAGATGTGCACAACCACACCCGACTCTCTGCAATTTTATAATCAAGTTCTTTGCACTTTAATGTAGAGGTTGCTCTAACCTGAAGATACTCATAGATCTTTACTTTCTAGGTCTTATATTTTCCTTTATCATTTATTTTTAATTACAAAAGTCTGTAAATGAAGTTTATTTTTACAAGAAATTTTGTACTTTATGTCTGGGTCCCAATGTGTGGAAGATTATATATAATATATATATATATATATATATATATTTTTTTTTTTTTTTTTTTTTTTTTTTGTCTTTTTTGTTTTTATCGGTACCAGGGATCGAACTCAAGACTGCCTGCTTGCAAGGCAGGTGCTTATGCCGCTGAGCTAAATCCCCAGCCTGAAGATTATATTTTTAAATCACTTTCAGAGTTAGAACCACAAGTCACAACTGAGATCTTAATTCAGCTTATAAATTCCACTTGGAAGAGAAGGGGCAAAGAAATACAAAATTTCACAAATGATCATGACCATAAGACTTTGACTTTTCAATTATAATTGTTTTCTTGTTTGTATTTAGAATAGTACTAATGAGAAATCAGGATTTTTAAATTTGAGGACAGTAGAATGACTACTATGAAAGAAAAGCTCTGTTGCCATATATAATAGATACCATTAAATAGAATAAAATATTAAGAAAAAGCATGAGCATTTCTATGTTGTTTATAAAAACATTGCCATTAAGTTATCTTGGTTTATAATGTGTCTGGCATTTAATATCAGAATTATCTTTGACTTGGTATGTCATTGTATTATATAACATCATATGTATATATATATCCATGACAATAAGTGAAATTGTGTAGATTTGTGAACCTTCCAAAAATAGGAAATAATTTTCCTGAAAGCGAGTTTACTTAATAGCAAACATTTGAGAATTATTTCTAAACAATTTGAAACAGCTTTCTAGGGTTAGGCTACGGTGGATTTAATTTATTTTTGTCATAATGTAAATCATCAACTTTCAAAATATACGAATCAGCTCTAAAAAATCTATGTGTATAGTGTTCAGAGATAAGGGCATTATTCTGATGTGCTTTTTAAAAGATGGTTTTGAGCCATGTGTCATATTAGAACTGACATTTGGTATTTGTCCATATAAATGAACTAGTAATTACTTAAGTCCAGTACTTAAGATGTATTATTAACAAAACCCAGATAGTGAGAAATGCCCAATTAAGTAGAAACAAGTTGGCATTCACATTGTCTTACCTTGGCTGTGTCACTGAGATAGTTTTGCTGAAACTCCTTGTTTGACTCAAGCTTTTTACCTAGAAAACTTCTATTCCTGGTGGCAGTTGTATTCTACTTGACAACATTGTAGGGAGTGTTGGGAAATAGAAAAATAAAATTGAAGCACATACTCTGTGAACTAGCAGTTTAGTGAGATAAGACAAAGACACAAAAATAAATCAGGGGAATCCATTCCTATTTGTGCCCAGACGGAAGTGTAGAGGTTTGCAGAAGGAAAAGGGTTAGGACCCAGAAGTGAGGGGCAGAGTAATTAGCTGTGCTACTTTGGCCAGTGTTGTGCTGGTACATAGCCATGGAGATGTGAGCTTTCTCCCAAGAGGTATTCTGCTGTTATTCTGCTACTCTGCAGCTTTCCTGGGCTCAGAAGGCAGTTGGGGCAGCAGCAATGGTAATTAGAACAACTTGATCTCTGGATCCCAGATTCTGTGGCGATACAAGAGGTGATGAGATTCAATCTCTATTTTAAAGGAATAAGCAGATATTTTGTGATAACTCGGACCCCAGAATAAAACCCAAGGAAGCAAGAAATTAAAATTTGGGGAGCAAAGGCTTTATTTTAGGCCAGGCCTGGCGATGCAATCCCTGGGAGCCAATTTGGAGACTGCGCGCCTGACAACTAAAGGTCAGGGCTTTTATCTTGTAAAACTGCAAACAGCAGCTGGTCTCACAATGCAAGGAGGGGGGGTTGTGGCGCACTATAGAACAGGAACACGGTGATTACATTGGGAAGAGCAAAGTTCAGATAAGGGTTGGGCTAACAAGCAAGTCTCCCTGCATACAAGCGAGTTTAGATTGGGTAAACATCTTCTTTCCCTCAGCAGAGAATAGAGAAGTCTAGCAGTAATTAACAAACCCTGATAGCTTATTTTAGCACCACATCTGTTATTTGTAGAGGGCAACAATAGTTAACATCAATTAGGTAAGATTTTACAATTTTTACAGAGGAGAGCATTTCTTAAAGAACAGCACATTTTATTACAGATAGCCGGATGAGGGGTAGGGGAGGGGGTTGCAGGAAACTGAAACCCAAGGCTTTTACAGCTTTCTCAGGAAATAGAAACTTAACCTAGAAAGATAGGAAGGGAGGGAGGGGGCCGAGCGGCGCATACAGAACAGGAATGAGGCGCAGTGGTTAGAACTAGGCTATAACATTCCCCTCTGATGTTGTGATTGAGGCCAAATCTTTGGCCTTGTTAAGCACTTCTGGGGACGAGCTCCTATGTTTGTTGTCTAACCATCATTAATTTTATGTTCTGCATCTGTTGTCTGATATACGCAGTCAGTTGATTGATTATACAAGGGCCTAGAGTAACTAATATCAGTATCATAACAAGAGGACCAGCTATGGTCGCTACTAAACTAGTCATCCATGGTGGGAAGGAAAACATTTGCTCCATCCAGCTTGGAGTTCCTTGTCTTAGTTTTTCTCTTTCTTGGAGGCTTTTCTGGAGCTCAGCTAAATTTTGTTTTACTATCCCAGACTTATTAGCATACAGGCAGCATTGTTCCCCTAATGCCTAACATAGTCCTCCTTTCTCAACTAATAGGAGCTCTAGCCCTCTGCAGTTCTGGAGGGCTACTTCGGCTAATGAGTCAATTGAGCTTTCTAAGGCTTCAATAGCACTGTGAATTTGTTTCATCCCTTCATCTACCTGTTGGGATAATATGTTGTATTGGTGTGTACTAACTCCCAGAGAGGCAGTCCCCAGCCCAAGGGCCGAGAATATACTGATTCCAGCCATAGTAGGAAGAGTGGGACTTCTTGTTTGCTCATTGGCTGGTAGAGATAAGGGCCCTATTTCCTTTTTCTTCTGGGTGCCAGTAAATTCTAGGCAGGATTTGGATTAGTACACAAACCTCATCCTGGTTAACAACAAACTTTTTTGAAGCAATACAGGGGTACCATCCCGAAGTACAAGCCCACTAATGGCTGGCTGGGGCCACTATGGAGGTATTATTACCAGACCCTGTAACGTGATAGGAATGGGAGAGATCACAATATTCAGGAGCCGTGTGGCTGGAGTGATATGTGCAGGTCCCATTTAAACCCTCTGTGCTGGTGCTTTTCCACAAAGACTGAGGGAGAAATATATTACATCTGGCTGCACTAGAGGTGAGTTCACTGGTGACCGTGATGTATCCCTCGTAAAAGGGAGGCTCAGGGGGCAAACATAGCCAACACAGGATTGTTAGGCCACTGTCAATGGAGCCATTAATCAGCTCGGCAACTACTTCTAAGGGCTGGAACATCTCTGTCATTGAGGGAGGTGTAGGAGCTTCGGGCTCGGCAACAGTTAGCAACAAGGGTGTAAGAGTTCATCTAGGCTCTTCCGGCCCAGTTTCTTGTGGCCTCTTAGTGGCTGCAGGTTGGATTGGGGTTTGATCTGAGCTAGGTAACTCAATTTTCATCCAATATTTGAGGTCCCCTTTCTTTTTCCACATGCACATTTTAACACTGGGTTGGCTTGTATGGTATAGAATGCCATTACAGAGGGCTTTAGCTACTGGGGGCGTTGGAGTATGCCTCCGGAATGGACTTGGATAGACTTAGGTACTCTTATTGGGCTAGGGGCCACCACTGGATGACGCTCCCTTTTATATTGAACTGCGTGAGCTTTTCTAGGTGGTTTATACAGGATATTAACTCCAGGGTCATACCCAGTTTTATAGATCTTAGTAGTATAAGTAAGCCCCTGTCCTTGCCACCAAGGGTCTGTTGGATTTAGGAAGATATGCTCAGTTTTACAATTTTTGTTTCCTATATACTTGATAGCAAGGTATTTTTCAGAGTTGTAATATCCATTTAGGCCTCCAGTAACACATGGCCATGCATAACAGTATTGTTGGTCTGGATCTGAGGCACAATAAATGTTATAACTAGGGTCTGGTTGGTTTTGGGGACATACATATAAAGCTGTGTTATCAATGTCTTTTTCAGAATCATTGTTGAGAATCTGAGGTGCAAGGCCATAACAATAGTTGCCCTTGACTGTGTAACCAACTCTTTCAATCAAATTACCATTAAAGAGTGTACACAGGTCAATAGTGATTTGGTTTGTGTCACCCTTAGACCTGCCTAACTCCTCTTTAGTCTTTTAGTCTGAAATAACTCAGTCTCCATTCCCAGGGGTTACAGTCACAATTGAGTACCAGACTATACACCACAATATAGACATGATTTGTATAACTAAGAGTTCTTAACAAATTTTAACTTTAATGGGTTACCAGTCCGCTGTATAGTCCATTGAGAACACTCCTCACTGTCTGTTGCTTCCAGTGGCTTGACATGGGTATGGTGAATCCACGCAGTCTTTCCTGCTACCTTGACGGCGGTGGGAGTACTGAGTACCACGGTGAAAGGTCCTTCCCAGCGGGGTTCGAGGGAGTCGCGGTGGTGGCGTTGCACCAAGACTGGAGTCCCCGGCTCCATCGGTGCCTTGAGGGGCATCTCTGAAGGCAGATCCAGGTGTTTTTGTCTAAACAGCTGGTGGATCGAGGCTGGAGTGTCTGTGGGGGCTTAATGAGATACTGGTTAGTTATTTCAACTAATTTGTCCTCTGACAGTCTCGGGACCAGTGGAACATAGCTTCAAAGGGGGCCTTCCGAACATAGCTTCAAAGGGGGAAATTCAAGAAACATATGGAGTACATCTAGTTCTTAGCAACGCAAAGGGAAGCAGGCTCACCTAATTATCGCCAGTTTCTAAAGACAGCTTAGCTAAAGTGTCCTTGAGAGTTCAGTTCATACGTTCTACTTGCCCTGAGCTTTGTGGCCAATAGGTACAGTGGAGTTTCTAATTAATCTTTAATGCCTGGGCTAACTTTTGGGTGACTTGAGCTATGAAAGTGGGGCCATTATCAGACCCCATTGATAGTGGGAGGCCAAATCGAGGTATGATCTCATCTAATAGCTTTTTAATACCACTAAGGCTGACTCGGACTTAGTAGGGAAAGCCTCTACCCAGACAGTGAAGGTGTCTACTAATACCAAGAGATAGCGGTGCCCCTGTAAACCAGGCTTTACCATGTCCTGAAGTCTACTTCCCAATGTTCTCCTGGAACAATTCCTCGATGTTGGGTGGTCTCCAGTGTAGAGCTCTTGGCTGAGTTGACTAACAAGCCCTGTGAGCATCTAGAGCTCAAAGAGGCGGTCAGTTTGGAGAGTTTTGGAATAAAAAACCGAGTTCTGAACAATTCTGCAAGTTTAGTTCCCCCTAAATGGGTAGTTTGGTGAGCCCGGTGTAACAGCTCCCGTCCTAGTGCCTCCAGTAACAGTACTCGTTTATCAGGTAACTGGTACCAGCCCTCTGGGATGGGGGACTTCGCTCCAAGTTGAGACGCTAACTGCAGGTCCTTTTCTATGTAGACCAGTTCTGATAAAGTGGGAGGAACCAACATCAGAGCAGTTACCTCCTCAGTTGGCCCCTCTGATGTAGTGGCTATTTTTCGAGCGGCCTGATCTGCCAAATTGTTTCCTAGGGTGAATAACAGCAACCCGCTAAGGCAGCCAGACTGCTGCCAGCAAGTTTAGGATCCATGGAGCATTTTTTTATCTTAGTCTCGGCTGAGGTTAAGAGACCTCGCTCCTGATAGATGGCTCCATGTACATGTACAGTAGCAAAAGCCTACCTATGGTCAGTATAGATGTTTACTCTCTTTCCTGTGGCTAGTTTTAGCACCTCAAAGCAATGAGCTCCACCTTTTGGGCAAAGGTGCCAGGCTCTAACCATTTAACCCAGAGTACTTCCTTTTCGGTGTCACTGCTGCCCCGACCACTCGTTTGCCATTCTGAATGAAGCTGCTTCCATCGGTGAAATAGTTGTCGGCATTTCCCAAAGGCTGGTCGGTAAGATCAGCCCGTAGGTTCTGCTGCAGTTCAAGGATGTCAGCACATTCATGGAGAGGTGTCCTTTGTTCCTCTCGGTCGTCGTCAGGCATAAGGGTGGCTGAGTTTAAAGCTGAAGAAGTCTTGAAAACTACCGACTCTGGGTCTAGGAGCAGGGCCTGATAGTGTGAAATTCTAGCATTCGAAAGCCATTTTTTGGGAGGGGTTTTGATAAGAGTCTCTAAACTGTGGGAGATCACCACAGAAATCTTCTGTCCATAAGTAAGTTTTTTAGCCTCTTTAAGTAACATTGCCACAGCAGCTAGGATTTTCAGGCAGGGGGGGGTCATCCTCCTGTCATTGGATCAAGTCTTTTGGAGAGGTAGGCTATAGGCCTCTTCCAAGAGCCAATGTCCTGGGTTAGAACTCCTTTGGCAATGCTCTTGAGTTTATCTATGAACAAGGTGAATGGCTTGGTAACCTCAGGGAGTCCCAGGGCTGGGGCCTCTGTCAAGGCCCACTTGAGCTGCTGAAAGGCCCGTTCACATTCATCAGTCCAGTTTAGTGAGTTTCTCCCTTAAGGGAGTCATAAAGGGAGCGAGCTGTTTCAGTAAAATTTAGAATCCATAGCCTACAGTATCCAACTGCCTCCAGAAACTCCCGTACTTTTTTTTTTTTTTTTTTTTTTTTTAGTTTCTCTCTCATAGAGCAATTTTAACACCTTGGTTATCTTCTTGTTGGTAGCTTCTTGTAAATTCTCCCTGTTTTCAAAGACCTTTTGTGCTGTCTCTATTAACTGGCTGAGGGGCATTTTCTTAAATCTCTCAAACCTTTGGAAGTTTTGTCTAACATGTGGGGCCGACTGAGTTGCAAAGAGAACAACTGGTGATACTGGGAAACCTCCTTAGCTCTGGATGTTCAATCGGGGTGGGACAAAAGGAAAACATGGTTCTAGCATTCCAAATCAGCAGGTTTCATCTGGATGGTACACCGCTTTTTGTTTTGGGTGCCACGTGGCAGGCCATCATTTTACTGAAATTACATACTTAACAAAAAGGGCTTTTTCATAGGTAACAAAATTGTGCCGCATAATCTCCCAGGTGTTCACAGCACATGCAAGAACTTGTATCTTATCTCTATAATCACCTATAATCTCTATAATCACATTAGGCACAATAGTTATTTCTTTTAAATCTAGATTGGCCTTTTCTTTCTTTCTTTTTTTTTTAACTTATTATTAGTCAATTACCTTTTTTCTCTTACTTTTTAGACAACATTAAAACCTTTAACAAAATCCTTGAAGTGACCTTTTAGTAGTCTAAAGCATATTTAATTATTTTATGTCTTTTTACCACATTAAAATGCTATATTTAAAAAAAAAACCATAACCTTTTAACTGGCTCAATTACAGTATGACCTGGTTTTTACTTGGTAAAGTTGATATGATTCTTAAAAACCATAAATATACATATATATATGTGCACATAATGTTTACATTTTAACCAGAAAGAAAAATTCTCTTTTTAAAAAGGCATGCGGAGGTTGCAAGTAATCAATTGAGGACTAAAACATTAAACAAGGCACCACAACATAAAAGACACAAACAAAGGTTGTTTCATGCACAGTTTGGTGAGCTAAAGGAAATAATTTTTTTATTATGAACCTTGAGTCTAATAAGCCATATGGATCCTGCAACAGAAATGGGCAACAAGCCCCTAAGTTAGTAACAAATTCAAACAGGCAGACAATTCTAAAGTACAAAAACACTGAACATAAATATCTAAATCCCTTTGTCCGTTTTGGGCTCGTAAAAGGGGTTCCTAGGAGAGAATGTTCTGTTAGATTGGGGGTAACCAAAAGGAGAACAATTAGAACAAATGGACACAAAGACAGACATACAAGACAAGACATGCTGCAGCAAAAATGGCCTTTGCTCAAAAATCAACCAATTTTTGGATTTCTGGAGGAATTTAACAAACTAACCAACTGAACGGTTCGCTACCCAGGGCAGAGTCACAAATGGATGGAGTCCGTCCCAAAAACCAACTGGCTCTGGCCTCAGGAGTTCCACGCTCCCAAATTGAGGGCGTCCCCTCCAAGGCACAAACTTAACCGCGGCCAAACAAACCCTCCAGAGTACTTACTTTCAAATGTTCAGAAATGAGTCTGGGGTCTTGCTCCTATCCCAGATGAGCCCCCAAATGTGATAACTCAGACCCTGGAATAAAACCCAAGGAAGCAAGAAATTAAAATTTGGGGAGCAAAAAGGCTTTATTTTAGGCCAGGCCTGGCAACACAATCCCCGGGAGCCAATCTGGAGACTGTGTGCCTGACAACTAAAAGTCAGGGCTTTATCTTGTAAAACATATCAATTGGGTAAGATTTTACAATTTTTACAGAGGAGAACATTTCTTAAAGAACAGCACATTTTATCACAGATAGCCAGATGAGGGGTACGGGAGGGGGTTGCAGGAAACTGAAACCTAAGGCTTTTACAGCTTTCTCAGGAAATAGAAACTTAACCTAGAAAGATAGGAAGGGAGGGAGGGGGCCGAGCAGCGCATACAGAACAGGAATGAGACCCAATGGTTAGAACTAGGCTATAACAATTTTAGTGAAAAAATGATTCAAGAATGACTTTCAGATTTCTTTTTCAGGGGGATACATGTGAAGAAGTAATAGTGAAGGTTAAAAAAAAAAAAATGGATTACTGACCACATGTCAATCCCACCCATTAGAAATGCCATGGTTTGCCTGGTTTCAGATCTTCCATCAAAAAATCCCATTGATACGTGTGACACTAACCTATTTTATGAATTCTTTGAAGGTTGATACAGTAGCATCATCATAGCATAGTGGTTACAGTGTGGGCTCTAGAATCAGACCACCTGGACTTTTAGCTTTTCCTGTTATAGGCATGTGACTGTTACCATTTGAATGTAATGTTTCCCCAAAGGTCCATGAGTTAAAGACTTGGTCCCTCACCCATGGAGCTGGTGGAAGATGCCGGGGTTAGTGGGAGGAAGGTCACTGAGGGGTATGTCCTTGGTGGGATGTTGGAACACCAGCTCCTTGCCCCTCTTTGCTCTCCAGCCACCATGAGTTAAACAGGTCTTCCTCCCACATGTTTCCCTGTGCACAGGCCCAAACTGACAGGGACAAGTGACCCTAGTCTGAAACCATGAGCCAAAATAAACATTTTCTCCTTTTAAGGCAATTGTCTTAGGTATTTTATTACATACAGGAATGGAAAACTGGTTAACATACTGAGTTTAGCCAAGCTATTTAATCTCTGTCCCATTTTCACACCTATAAAATGAGAATAAAGTAATTTTAGTACCTATTTTATAAGGTGGTTGTGAAGTTTAAATGTAATATGCAGAGTGCTCACAAACATAGTGATACTTAAATAATAGCTATTGGGGGCTGGGTATAGCTCAGTAGACCATTTGCCCAGCATGCACAAGACCGCAGATTGAATCTCAACACTGTGGGAAAAAAAATGCCACCAATTCCTTGTCCTGCTAAGCAGTTTCTTCTCAAGTACACAAATCTCTTTAAACATACATAATAGTCTTTATAAAATACTGTGCAGACGGTCACATTGAGTCATGCAGTAGCTCTTGTTCCAGTCATTTGTTGCATACTTAAGTTTAGTCAGGAAGGGCTCCAGGATTATCAGTAAACACTGCCAGGGTGCTGTGACCAGTGCCCCCAGTAAAGTTCCTATATCTACCTGCCCTCGTCCTGCACCAAACCTTACAAGATTCAGACTTTTTTTTTCAAGAACAAGGAAATCATCCAGGTTAAAACAAGGGGAAGGACTGGTGGGTCTGAAACTAAGGTTCTTTTAACAGTGAATACAAGAGACCACACTGGAGAAAAGCTGCACCTTGGAATGCTTATAGCAAGCATGGAAGAATGCAACCATAAAAGTTGGGCATCATGCCAAGGACACCCATCATCACTGCACGTGGAGGAATCCAGGCTGCCATCCCCCTATTTATCATCTGCAGCTTGGGTCCTGCAAAGATGAGACTGTCAGTCCAAAAGACCAGTCACCAGGTATCCTGCTCAGAAGCACATTTTCACCCCTAACACACAGCAAACACTGCTGCTCCTTTAGTGGGTCTGCACAAGCAGTGGCAGCAGGTGGTCTACACTGGGGATCTGGTGAAAGATTAGCACCTAGGCAGAGTCACCAAACCGCAGGGGTGTGGAAGGAAAGAAAACATTCCAGGAATTTATAACTTGAACATATGAGTAGAAGTTCCCTGGATATAAACTGAGGTTTTGGAGGTTTTGGAGCCACCCATCACCCCTGGATATCATAGGAAATCTGAGCACATCATCCTTTCAACCACTTTAGTTGGGAAAGAAGAGCTTGTTTTTCATAGTCAAGAACTCATCAAAGTTTGTCTTTTTTATAACCACTGAACAAGAGCAAATTATTGATAAACGTTTTTAAATTTACATACTTTTAAACAATTTTTTGTATTTCTAGCCCTCAAGATATTCATTTACCTATTAGAATATTCATTGGTGGTAAAGAGTGGGGGTGTGGGAAGATTAAATTGCAGTGCTGACTGTTGAGGACAAATACTGCAGAATACCAGGGAACTTCTTATTGGTAAACAGGAAAACCACCTAGCTGAGATAGGCCAAGTGTGCTACTGTAGCAGATGGCTCCAGATGTCCAGGATACCAAAAACAAAGGTCTGTTACCTACTGCAGGTCCATCACAGACTGACTGTGGCGCTACACCGAGGCTGTGGTCTCCAGAAGCTGAGCTGTCAGAGACGGGGGACTAACCTTTTGCTTCTGTTCCTACTTCCTTGGCCCAAGGAAGTCACGTGGTCAAGCTTGATCTCAGAATGGAGGGGAATAAATTCCGAAACAGCATCTCTCTTCTTTTTACCACTTATTTCTCTTCTGTTCCCCAACTTCATGGTCCATGTAGTTGTATAGTACTTTCTGTCTCAGATCCTGCAGCTATAGTTTCCACCAACTATGGCTCAAAAATATTTGAAAAAAATTAGTCTGTACTGAATATGCATGGACTTTTTTTCTTGTCATTCCCACACTATACAGTGTAACAGCTATTTACATAGCATTTGCATTATATTAGGTGCTTAGTATATTTAGAGTGAGTGGTTTTTTAGGGGGGGGTGGGCTTGGTTTGGTTTTGGTGGGTTTTTTTTGTTTTTGTTTTTTTGTCTTTTTCCTTTTTATCGGTACCAAGGATCGAACTCACAACTGCCTGCTTGCCAGGCAGGCGCTTATGCCATTGAGCTAAATCCTTGGCCTCGAGTGAGTTATTTTGCTTTGTTTTTTGATGGTAATGGGACTTGAACCCAGAGCCTTGTGTGTGCTACACATATACTCTACCACTGAGCTACATCCCTAGCCCAGTCACTTTTTTTTTTTGACACAGTTTCTACATGAAATTCTGTTGTACTCACTCTGTAGCCCAGGCTGGCCTCAAAGTCGTGGTTATCCCCTTCCTTAGCTTCCCTAGTGCTGGGCTGATAGGCGTATGCTACCACAACCAGCCTAAAATGGCTTTAAAAATATACAGGGCGATGCAAAATATATGTGTATTATATAAAGATATACTATTTTCTCTGGGGATTTAGCTCAGCGGCATAAGCACCTGCCTTGCAAGCAGGCAGTTGTGAGTTCAATCCCTGGTACTGATAAAATATATATATGCTATTTTCTATACGAGATATGAACATGTGCAGATTTGGATGCCCAATAGAGATCCCAAAACCAATCAACCAATCCTTAATGGACAAAAAGGAGCAGTTGTATTCCAGAACCATGACATAGCTGCTTTTTCCCTTCTCACTTTCAGTCCTCTCCTTCTGCTTTTCTGCTTTCAGCTTTCTACTCCATTTCCACCTCCAAGACATGCTCAGTTCCTCTTGCTCTCAGACATACTTCTCAAGATAAAGTCAGGACAGATTGGTAACAACCCCTCCCCAGCCCCTAAGTGGCCATGATTTGCTGTCCCATTCTCCCTCAGCTGTAACGGTTATCAGCAAGTGGCAATCCGTTTCATCCACACAGATTCCCATTTCTTCCTGTTCAGGTTATTTTGAAGCAAATCTAAGATACAGCATTTTATCTGTATGTATCTCTGAAATGTGACCCTTTGTTTAACAAAATAATCACAAAATGATCGTTATACTTGAAAAATTTTACAAGAATGTTCTAATATCTAGCTAGGGTTCCAATTTCCCTATAAATTTCCATTTACAGCTGGTTCATTTGGATCAGGATCTAAAGTGCGTACATTTATAGAGCTATATAAGTAGAAAAAGAAATTACAGAAATAAAATGTACTTGGGGTCATCTATACATTCAAGAAATTGGAAGGAAATTCCCTTGCTCTTCTCTTCCATCCTGAACAACATGTTCCCTGGTCTTCACATCTTTGCAGCCCTAGGCATCAACACAATGTTCTTTCTACAGGGAAGCTCAACCTAGATTCTAAACAATTTGGAAATTGTGAAAAACACCCCTTTGAAAAGTTGGGGATGGAAGAAAGTACCACCTTTTATGTCTTCAGGATGTGTTCCTCTGAGGCTCTTGATTTAACTTAGGTATTTAGCTGGCCTTGCAACTAAACCCTGTATACACTTAGATTATGTAATCTGCACATTATCCCTGCAAGGAAAGCACACATACATAATTACAAGTGTGGTTCAAAAGTGTTTCTGAAGAAATAGGTTCAGAAAGAAACAAAGACACTCCCTTAAAAACAATCTGGTATCTCTTGGTACTTTGCAAATTGGTTCTGGAAATGAGGCCCTAAAGTACATTAATATTATAAGTGACTAGCCACCAAATACAGACCAAGAGATTAAAAGCAGGGAAGAAAGAGAAGTTAAGTGTTTTATTAGCACTAAAGCAGCAGTGTTTACTCTCAGTTTTTTAATGAGCCACACAAAGTATCATTGTGGTCTTTAAATGATGAAGACAGTGGGAGAAACACCATAAAACATGCTTCTTATCCACAGTGAACCTTGGGCATCCTGCAGATTTTCTTTTATTTCTTCCTGTAAAACTCATATTGAATAATCAGAAAGTCAAGTTGGAGAATCATACTTTACTTTTTCCTGCTTACTGTGTTAAAAACTTGTCAAATCACTTACATAATCATACCTTCAGCCTTAAAAGACACACACACAACCCGCACACACGTCTAGTTTAGTTAAGAAACAGGCCCAAGACAGCATTACTGGGGTCCCACAGATGGTAGTGGTAGAATGGGATTGAATCAAACCACCTGATCTCAGAGAGGGGCACCTTTTCCAATATCAGAATCAATAATAATTCAGAAGAAAATGCTAAAAAACGATGCTCATTTTACCATTGCTTTTAAATGCTTTGGAAAGATTACAGTTGAAAATTTGGGGAAAGTTCAGATGAAATGTAGTCACTGTCCCTTCACCCCTTAGTGCTAAGCTCAAAGATGAATGAAATTTCCTACACAATTCGTATTCTATAACACAAAAGAATCTGTTGGAAGTGACTTAAATGGATGATCTTATAATTGGAATTTTAATCAGGAGGATCATTGATGATTGTTTATTTTATCTCAGTCTGTTTCCTGTTGCTATGACAAAATACCTGTGGCTAGGAAACACATAAAGAAAAATGCTATAATTTTGAAGCTCCAAGAGCATGGCACTAGGGTGGGAGGTTTTAAGCAAGAGAAGGAAAATATCAAATATAGTTCTGGGAACAAAGTCAGAGCAAATTAATGAAATAGATTAATAAGCAGATGCAACTAACTAGTCAGTAGCAAGGGAATTTGAAAGAGAGTGGGAAGGGACTGAGGAGCAACAGAATCAGTAATGGAGGACAAGGAATCTGAAGTTGCCAATTGCTGCAGCTGGAGAAAACTGAAAGAGTTAAGTCCTAACAAAAGTAGTGGGATGGCAAAGGCACCTTCATTTTTTCCTGCTGCCCTCATGGGTCCCATGTTTTCTGCTGTGGACAGATGGCTCCTGGCTCCACATCTCTGGCTCTGGCATTTTATCTTAGATCAGTCTCCGCAAATAACATTGTTCTTTATACTGTCCAGCTAAGCTACTGTCCAGCTAAGTGACATACACCCTACTGGATGCAAACTGAAAGGGCAGGAAGTGGACACCTCCATCCACCCATCAGAAGAGATGTTACCTTTGATCATCAATGGGAAGATAAATCTGGAAGCCAGATTACATTTTAAAAGTTTTGTTTAATCAACTTCTTTTTCAATTTTTTAAACATTTCCTCGGGAGCATTTCCCTAAGCATAAAAAGCACTCAGTTAATTTTTTTTAAGTGTAACATATATATCAAACTTTACACACATTCATATACAACTTGAAGGATTTTGTTTTTCAGTACTAGGAATTCTTGCTAGGTAGGCATTTATGCCACTGAGCTAGGAATTTTATTTTTACTTTTTATTTTGCAACAGGGCTTGCTAAATCACTAAGTTGCCCAAGCTGTGCTGAAATTTGCACTCCTCCTGCCTCAACCTCTCTGAATCCTGGAATTGCAGGTGTGCCACCAACAGCACATTGAAGGATTTTTATAAGCTAAAATATTTGTGTAGACAGTGTCCCAGAATACAAGCATTTATTTGTTTTTGATGTTTTATTTTTAGTATAATTATCTTAACTATATATACATATACATATATTTTTTCTTTCAACTTCTCAAACTAATGAAACAGTACTATGTTTACAAATGCATGTCTGATTTATTCCACTTATGAGTGTGTTCTCAAGTTGCATCCATTTACCTATAAAATTCTCCAGTTTATTCTTCTTTATGGCTGAATAGTACTCTACTATATAAAAATATCATATCTTCTTTATCCCTTCTTTGGTTGATGGACATTTAGGTTATTTACAAGATCTAGCTATTTCAAATTGTGCTTCAATAAACAGGGGTGCACGTACACCACAGTAGTGCAGTGTTTTTAATTCTTCTGGGAAGATACCCGGAAGGAGAATAGTTGGGTCAAATGGGACCTTCAATCCTAGTTTTTTGAGGAATCTCTACACTGGTTTTCACAGTGGTTTCACCAGTCTACACTCCCCACAAAAGTAGAAAAAGGTTCCTTTTTCCCCACAGCCTCTCCAGCATTTATTATTGGTTGATTTCTTGATAATTGCCATTCTTTCTGGGTTGAGGTAGAATCTCAGTGTCCTTTTAATTTACATCTCTCATGTGACTAGTGATGTCAGACATTTAATATATTTATTTGTTATTTGTATTTCTAGTATTCGTGTTTGCTAGTATTTCTAGTATTTGTGTTTTCACCATATTGGTTCTTCCTACCCAAGAGCACAGGACAGCTTTCCATTTTATAATATCCTCTTCAATCTCCTTTTTCAGAGTACTGTAGTTTTCAATTTAGAGGTCTATTATATCCTTTATTAGATTGATTCCTCGGCTTGTCTTTCTTTCTTTCTTTTGTTTTTATGCTATCGTGAAAATTGTTTCCCAGATTTCTCTCTCACTGAGGATGTTATTCACATACATAAAGGCTATTGACTTTTTTTTTTTTGGTACCAGAGATCAAACTCATGACCTCATGTCTGCTAGGTAGGTATTTATGCCACTGAGCTAAATCCCCAGCCCAAAACTATTGACTTTTGAGTGTTGACTTTGTATCCAGCTATGCTACTGAATTTGCTTATTAAAACTAGTAGTCTTCTTGATGGGGTTTTTGGAGTCTTCTTCATGTCATCTGCAAACAGTGATATCTTTATTCTTTCTATTTCCTCCTCTTGTCTGTATGCCTCACTTATCTGTATGTCAAATTATTTTTCTCTGCCAGGAAAGTTTTCTGCCATGATGTCTTGAACATTTTTTAACGTCCTTTGTTGTATCTCCTGCTTCTTTGTTGACTCCAATCAAACTTAAGTTATTCTTCCTCGTATCATCTAGCAGCTGCTGGATTGATTTCTCATGGTCCCTTGCTGTTTTTGAGACATCTTTCTTTTCCTAATCACTAACTGCAAGCCTGTCTTCAATACCTGAAATCCTATCCTCACACTGGCCTAATCTGCTTCAAATACTTTCAATGAAATTTTTATTCTCCTGGTTATCTACTTGAATCTGCTTTACAGATTCCACTTCTTTCATACACTGAGCTTCCATAATTATTTTAAGTGCATCTATTTTTTTGTCTGTATGTGCTCTAGCATCACTAAGCATGGTCTGTATCTGACAGATTATTTCACTTTCCAGGTAGGTGCTGTGCCACTAGTTACATTTTCAGCCCTAGAATAAAATATAATCAGTAGGCCAAACTCAATTTTATCAATTCTCATTGCTTAGAATAAGGGAAATCTTAAAAAGTAAGTAGACTTAAATTTGATTTAAAGAAAAAACATCACATACTAACACAGCAGCCCACAGATGTGGCAGTACTGTGAATTGTTAGTGAAAAAGCCTTGCTTTAGTGTCACACAGCAGTGCCGATACTTTTCTCTTTGGGGGGCTGTTTTATTTTTTCGTGGTTTATTAGTGTTTGTGGTGTCAGGACCTTGAGCACACTAGTCAAGCACTCTACCACTAAACTGTGTACTCAAGGAAGAAACCAAGTAGTTTTTAGGATGTGCTAAGGAAACGGAATGAGACCACCCAGCACGTATGTCCTGCTCTTTGTTTCTTTGTGTGTTATTTGTGGAGTCAGTTTGTACTTAGTGATTACTTACATAGTTATCAAATCTTAGGTGGATTTTCACTTATCCTCTAGGAATGATATCATCCTTCCTATCTTTAGATTAAATTTTCAAATTTCTGAGTTCAAGCCAAAGTTTTGATACCTGTGGGTAGTGATATAACAAACCAATCTGATGATAGCATCGCAGTTTTGGTTTGGTTTGGTTGTTTGGTGTTTGCTGTGACCTAGACATGGTTTGAGTGTCCCCTACATGCCCACAGCCTGGAGGCCTGGTCCTGAGGGTGGTGATATTGGGAGGCTGGGCGGTAATGGAAACTTGAAGAGGGAGAGCACACTTGGAGGTGCTTAGGTCAAATCAGGATGTGCCCTCCAAAGAGATTAAGGGAATTCTCAGTTAATCACTTGGTAGTTCTCCATAGCAATCATTACAAAAGCTGGATCCTGGCCCCACCAACTCTCTGGCTTCCTATCTGAGGTGTGATCCATTGCTCTACAAGCATTGCTGCCTTGATGTGACATCATCCCCCATTAGGCCCTAACCAGAGGGCAAGACAATAGGGCTGCCCAATCTTAAACTTCAAACCTTAGAAAGTGACTAAGCTACTAACCTGCTTTTCTTCATAAGTTAGCCTGCTTCAGGTATTTCAAAATAGTGATGAAAAGCTGACTAATGCGTATTGCTAATGCATATGCTAATCACATTCCAGGATCAGAATGGCCAACTGGACAATTTTTGGATATATATACCATTTCCCACATGGCTCACAGTACCTTGTGTTGTTTTTTGTTTTGTTTTTACAGTGCTGGGGATAGAAACCAGGGCCTAGTTCGTGCTCAGCATGTGCTCTGCTACCAAGTTATGTCCTCAGCCCTCTCGTGTTTTATATATTACTTTACTTAAACTTTGCATCCACACCTAGAAAAATAAACTCAAAGGGGAGAAACCTTGGGTTTGTGTTTCACAGCCCCAGTAGCAGCAGAATAGCTTGTTAAAGTAGACAGATGCTTTTTATGATAAGTCTTTATCATATCATTGGTGTATGCATCCAATATGTACAAAACTTTATTATGGAAAAGTTGATGTATTGCAACAGTGCAATACATCTCAATTTCTAAATCAGTCATGGGTGGATAAAATGAAAGACAAGGATAGATGTCACTCAACTTTGTGCTTTCTCTTCATTAATAAAAAAAGCAAAATACAGTATACCACAGGAAAGGCACTACTGTAAGAATTACACAGAGACCAGAGAGAAGAGAGGCTCCTGCCTTCCACAGCCAGCAGTATGTAGGCAACAAGGAGCTGGGTGTAGGCCCAGGAGAGAGCTCTGTAGAGTAACCTCATGGGCCAGGATCTGATAGATGAGCTGGCGAAGGCGTGAATCAGATGATCAGCTTCCACCATCACAGCCCAGCACAGGAAGCCAAATACTTGTCCGGGATGCAGCCCGTGCCACCAGGCCGAGAAGGCAAAGGTCTGTACTCGTGGCCACTCCCTGCTCTGCTGGAACACCAGCCGGCGCAGCCACCGGGCTGTGCTCTGGTTCCACTTTCTTGTGAACAGGGACACCCTGTGGGAAGTTTCCAGGGTCCAGATGTCCACGTCAGGGACATATCCTTCTTCATCAGTGCTCTGGCCAGACTCAGACCCAAAGCCGGCTGCGTGGAGGAGGCAATCATCCAGGATCCACTGGGCGTAGTAAGCGACTTTGAAGAGCCCAGCCGTGGACCACAGAACATAAACGCACTCGAGCTGCTGGCAGTTAGTCAGTCCTGCTCCTGCACTTACCACACCTCTCAGGACCACTTTTAGGCACTCCAGTCCAAGAATCTGCAGGCCTCTCCAGATCAGACCCCAGAAACAGCAGCCACACAAAGAGCTGGATCCTTGAACGTGAGCCTCAAATCTCTGGAAGGAACACAGAGGGCCTCCCAGCAGAGCAGGGAAAAAGAGCAAGTAGCTGAAATAGGGCAGGGCCTTATGCAGATACTCAAACAAAGAGCTCCTGCTCCTGATGCCTACTGTTGCTACTTCCACTTTCCCCTCACAAATGTCCAGAGAGAGGGATGTGACCCTCTGGGTCAACAGCATGAGGGAAGAAAGAGTGATGCAGAACCTGAAAGAGATTTTTTTTCTTAATATAAAAGCATTCTGCATTTACTATCTCTCCCATTCTAATCTGCTGTACATGATCTCATTGCAAATCATGTCCACAAAGACTCTTGGATTAATTCGGATTCACTCACTCTTTTAGACAGGATTAAAAGGTAGATGGAGCCAGATGTGGTGCTGCACATCTGTAATCCAAGCACTATGGAAACTTGAGAAAGGAAGATTGAAAATTCAAGTCCAGCCTGGGTAACTTAGTGATTTGGCAAGACCCTGTCTCAAAATAATAATAATATAATAATAATAATAATGGGTTAGGGCTCAGTGTGAAGGCCCTAGTTTCTCTACTACCTCAAAAAAGGTAAATGGCAAAATGTATCATTAATCAGTGATACAAGGAAAAGAAAGATGAGGAATATTGTAGGGAAATATTGATTATCATATTTCAAGAATGACTTAAAATGATTATGATTAGAGGTGAGAGAAATTTGCCATGGAAACAAAACAGTAACTTAATCCTTTTTCACTAGAAACCAGACTCTGACTCTGCACGATCTGGGACGTGTGCTGAGCTGAGTCCACAGCAGTCTGAGTTCCTCATCAGTCACCTGAACTTACTGCTCCGCCATGGAAGGTCCTGCTGACGGATGATGGGTGAAGACAGTTAGTGAAAGCTACAGGAATTCTGTCCTGGGGAGAGAAAACAGTTCCACCTTCCAACCTCAAGCTCTTTATCTGAGTCTGAAGATTTAAGGAAACCTGACTCCCTCGTTTGATTTATCCTAGCTGAAATCAAGGTAGCCGCCAAGTGCCCAGCCCCTGCTAATTCACCTTCTGCTGTGGACTGAAGGTGTCCCTCCCAAATTCATATGCTGAAGTCCTAACTCGTGTTGCCTCAGAATGTGGCTGGATTAGGAGACTCAAAATCACCAAAAAGGTGATTAAAATGGGACCAGAGTAGTGGTCATAATTCAGTATGACTGGTGTCCTTCTAAGAAATTAGGACACAGATATATGCTGAGGGAAGACATGGGGAAGGCCTAGGAGAGACTTCAGAAGGCACAAATCCTGCAAACATTTTCCTCTTGGCCTTGCAGCCTTCTCGACAATGAAGAAATCAAGTTCTGTCATTTCAGCTACCCAGTCTGTGGAGGTTTGTTGAAGTGGCTCCAGCAGGCTGACATGTACATTCTCACCTCAGGTCTGCATCAGCCCTCTGCCCCATCCAGTCAGATCCTGCTCGGCTTGCCCGACCAGTCTGCTCAGGCCCTGGCTCTTGCACATCCCAGTCAGTAGTGTCCTGCCCACCCGCTGCCTTGCTGTTCTTGCCTTTCCCTCAGAGAATCAAGCCTGAAGACTTTGGTAACAACATCAGGGTTCTGGGTATAGGAGGGATGGAAAGGAAAAGAGAGGAGAGCAGTGGAGGGTTCGGGTCCAGAGAGCCAGCTAGAGTGGCATCAGGCTCTCCTCTGAGTGACATAGACCACACACCTGATAAGCAGAGAAAGCTGGAAACATGAGACCGTGAGAGCACAAAGGTATTTATGGCTCACAATGAGCATCTCAGGAGCACAGAGAAACACTGCTCTAGGCTGCCACTAGGTCCCCTTTGTTGTTCTTCTCTGACTAGGTGACTGTCCTTCTTGGGCCAATGAAATGACTGAATGAAGATAAAGGTTATAGGGCACCTGCCACCATGGGAAGGCAGCACAGTTGATACCGGAGTTACAGTGTGTGTTGGTTGGATGTCTAAACTGCCCATGCGAGGGGAGCACAAGATGCTGTCACTTCTAGGCAAGCTTTTTCTACATAGGCTTTGCACTCTTATTATCTACTCACACTTTTCTTATTTATTTTTTTATTTTTTTGAGGTGGGGTCTCACCATGTTGTCCAGGATGGCCTTGAACCTGGGCACAAATGATCCTCCTGCATCAGCCTCCTAAGTAGCAGACACTACATGCACACACTTGCATGCTTGGCTGCAAGACAAGTATTGTTATCCCCATATTTTTTTTCCCAGAAAAGCAGATCAAGTCTGAAAAGTGCTAACTAACTTGCACAAGACCACCCTTCGAATGTGGAAGAATTAGGATTGAAACCCAGTACTCAAGTTCTTCCACACTGTCCCAGGGAACCCCAGGCACTTCAAGGCAACCAGAGTAGCAGGGTACTTTACCTCGGGGAAGGAGGCTCTTGCAAATAGTACTCCGTGTAGTGCAGACCCAGGTGACACAGGGTCTGCCAGCTCATCTGAAAGGAGAAAGTCCATCTGTGGACATCCTGTGGGCCGAGCGAGAAGACCAGAATCACAGCACAGACCGCAGGGATGAAGATGAACATGGCATAGACACCCATGGCTGCAAAGGCCAGCACAACTCCTCCAGTCAGGAGAAAAAGGTATCTGGGAAAAAACAGACCGGGTGACTTCTTGGAATAATACGGCAAACCAACCACCTCAGAACTCAGTCTAAGGAAACCAGCCAAGGTAGGACCCATATAACTCATGAAGGAACCACACTGTTACAGTACCAAAGCTTTTCTTCTGTTCTGAAGAAAAGAAACCCTGAGAAAGAGCCAGGATCATTACAAAAACTGTCACCTCAGGCAACAAACCCTGACTCCTGGCTTGGTAGGAAACTGTCTCATGAGTACCCATCCTTCAAGTGGTTCCCACCCAAGATCCACCACTGCATCTCACAGTCCTGGAGGGTCCACTGGCAGGGCGTCATTAAAATTTCCCACAGGTTGTCTGATTGAGAAGGTATGCGAATGTACATGAAGGACCTAGAGGAACTCTCCAATTTCCTTTCCTCAACATGAGACCCCTTCCAAAGGGTGATGAATTAATGTACTGCTAATATATACATTTTTGCATGTTTGATTTTTTTTTTAATCAGTACTGGGGTCAAACTCACGACCGCCTGCTTGCAAGGCAGGTGCTTATGCCGCTGAGCTAAATCCCCAGCCCTCATGTTTGATATTTTTCCTAGGGGTGGTGATGGAACCCAGGGCTTTGGATGTGCGAGGCAAGCATTCTGCCACTGTGTCACACCCCTGCCTGTAAGTATTTTTTTTTTAGTTTTATTAAATTCTCTTTTGAAAAATCTACACAGTCACTGCAGATCTAATGACTGAAGAATCTTTATTCCTTCTTTGCAGCACCAACCTGGTCTTCTCTGTCCCCCTGACTTTCTTCATCCTGTTCTCATTCCTTCTGCCATTTTTTTTTGAGGTCTTTCTTCTCCTAGCAGCCATGTCTTGCAAATCTAGGCTTGGGTTCATTTTTCTTTGTGTAACCCAAAGAATCCTAAATCACACCAGTCATCTTATCACGAAAACAGTGTCTGAATCCAGATTGAAAAATAACATCTAGTGTGGTTTTCTACATTAGGACTAGTTTTCTCTTTCTTCTGCATGTGATTGCCTTTCTAAGATAAAGGATGTCAGTGATTTTCATTTCCACTGTAGTCATCAGTGGGTCATAAACTTCCTGGTCAGAATAGTTACTATGTCATCTGCAATAAGGGCTGATCCTCAGGCAGCCAGGGAAAAAAGGCACTGTTGTTTTTAAATGACGTAAACATTAAAAAAGTGGTTTGTGAACAGATGCCTTCCTCAGAAACCAAATAGATAAGGAACTGAAGAGGCTGGTAGTGTGGGGAATGTGTGTCATTTTGGTTCTTTCTGTAGTATACAAAGGGATATTTTTTTGAAAAAATATGGATTCTGAATTAATAAAGCTCAATAAAGGGAACAGGAAAAGTGTAAGACAAGAACTGGTAAGAGACCAAAAATTTGAGTCAAAGAAGCCTGTTGTTTTCTACCAGCTCAGAACCAGCAAGCTCTGCACCAAGTGTGCATGATGGTTCTGTGGCATGATGCAAGGCACATGCACATGAGAATTCCTTTATGTACCTCAGGTGTATAAAAACCCTCCACCATACCTGGACTTATCTTTATCCTAAGCTTAAGGTGTCTCCTCTCCATACTTGCTAAGCGAAACTAAAGAGGACAATTACCCCTTATATGGCAGAAATAAAAGCAAGTCACATCCCTCCCACCCAGAGGCAGCTCCCTTGGGGCTGTATAGACATCCAGGTAGCTACACATGGATACAATGTAGTGTGTATAATTTATTGAGGATTTTCAATTTTATTTCACTTCATTTTATACATTATGCTAATTATCCCTTATAAGAAATATTTTTAACCTTTAAAAGAACCCAATGAGACAGGCGTCATTATTTCCATCTTAAAGATAAGGGAAGGGCACCTCAGAGAGGGTTTATTCACACACACAAAGACACTTAACAAGTTGAGGGTATTAGAACACCAAAGTGAGCTATCTTAATCCTACAGTGAATCCGTGGGGTTTAACTCTTATTTTTTACTTTATTATTTTGTAATTCTTTCTGAACAGGAAACTTCCTTGTAACTGTTCCCCCATCTGCACCTCCTAGAAATAAAAGTAAGGGCCATCAGACAGTGGTGAGCATGTGATAATTTACCGTACAAACTCAGCAATCATGACTGTGAGACACAGATGGAGTTTTTAAAACCCCTACAAATAAAAATTATAATTCACCAAATTAGCAAATTATTAGGAAGTGGCCTGTGGACAGATAGATTTTCACCTTACGAAAGGATAGTCCACTAGAACTTTAAAAACAGGGACTTTTTCTACTGTAAGGAGTTTGTTGGATGTAAAAAAATCTCACAATCACGCGAACAAATCTCTAGTGACAACCTAAATCAAACCCCAAATTGAGATATAGAAAATCTATCAGGATTGTTTTGACTTATTTATCCAAAAACATGTTACAAAGGAGTTGGCTGTGGTGGCACACGCCTGCAAGCCCGGAACTGCAGCAGGTGAGTCACAAGGGTGCCAAGTGTGAGCCCAGTCTGGACAACTTGGCAAGTTAGCTAGACCTTGTCTCAAAATTTAAAAACAAATTTTAAAAAAATTAAAAAGTTCTGGGGATGTGATGCAATGCAAGGGCTCCAAGCTCAAATGTCCAGTACTGCAAATAAGAGGATTGCTCATTGCAAAGGCCCTGAGTTCAATCCCTTAGCACCGCCAAAAAAAAAACTGAAAGAGAGATGACAGAGAGAGAGAGAGAGAGAGAAATGTTGACAGAGACAGGGACAGATGGACAAGAGAGAAAGATATATGAAAGAATTTTTAAGTAAAATTGTATTTTGTTATAAATATCACATATAGGTGTTACTCTATATAAAATTTAATTTTATTGAGGATGATCAAAATCTATAAAATCAGTTCTGCTGAAGAATATCTGGGATCTATGTATGGCACAGAGATATACATTTGGAGAACTTCCGGTACCAGAGTTTCAACATCTGTCTTTCCCCAGAGTTTATTTTCATCTATTTCCCACTTAATATGAGTTGATCAGACTTTTAATCAATGCAGACACGATGTTAATTTCCAGGTCAGTTTTACTCTATTATCCATGTTCATTATCAAGCAACCAATAATCAGTGGCAGGGACGATGAGCTAAAAACAAGCATAGCTGATGTGTAATCACGCATGCAGTCCACTCTCTGCTTTCTGCTCTATTATTGTATTCCTAGATGTAAGAGCAAAAGAAGCCATCCAGCCTACCTGGCTTGAGTAGAAAATGAATTCCAGATGCAGAGATAATGAAACAGAAGTGCAAAAGGAAAAGCAGCCCCTTGATAAAATGACACAGGATGGAGGAAGAACAGCTCGATCCAATCCATTATGAAGCGGGACAAGGGCACTATCATTCTGGTAGCTTCTGGAAAGAAAAATTGCAGCTAGGTGTTTTTATATGACATCTGGGTGAACAAATCCAAACAAAAGCACTGGAGATAAACAGGATAAAAGCTGGCTTTCACATAAAGGCAGCTGCACCATGGAAACAAAAATACATTTCAGGATTCTGCTACTTCATAGTACGTACTAAGAACAGTGCTTTCAGAAGTTGAGGCTCATAGTGTACATAGCACATTGTTTACCTTCCTGGTATCACACCATCATATTTTCTTCACTAAGTTAACGAAAAATTTCATTTTCCAGTTGTAGACAGACAACTCCCTAGATTGGAGTGGGCTTGAAAGAACACAAACAAGAAGGGAAAAAAAACAAAATTTCCTCTTCTAACTAGCACTTTCCTCCTTATAAATTTTGAATATATTATAATTATTATATACTATACTATAATACAATTATTACTATATAATACAATTATACTATATAATACAATTATTACTATATAATACAATTATACTATATAATATCCCTGTTTCTCAGTTAATTGCCCACTGTCACAGATAAAATATGAGTGCTACAAAGAAAGTGCCTGGCTTTATTCCTGTACCACCAGAACACAAAATGATGCTGCACAATTACTTTGCAAATATTTCTTAAAGTTAAAAATATTTTTACAAAGGAGACATTTACAGAGAATCTTTACTTTGAGGTGTGGAGCAATAATACAGAAGTGACTTCCTAGAGGCAAGACAAGAATGAGAGGGCATGGGGACCTCTTCCCCCTTCAGTCTTGGCCCCAAACTTTCCAAGCTGGGGGTGGGATTAGCAGCAGCAGACACCAGCCAAGTAGGACATCTCCTTAGTGGTGATGGGATTGGCTGTTTGAATGCAAGAGTGTAGCCTAACCCTACAATAGCTCGGTCCCATGGGTCCCTGTAGCGATGGCCTCAGCCTCCACTCCCTTCTGCCACAGGGGTTTGCTTTTTGTCCAGGTGGGAGGGGGCCTGAGACTCCTGGTGGGAAGCTGGCTGTCTGGCTCTGTAGATCTATGATTCTCAGGTATGGGTGGAGGCTCTGGGGACCATCTCTGCTATTGGAAATACTTGGTCTCAATCTTTATCTGACATACTAGTAATAGCAGAACCTGCACAAAGTAGATATCAGAGTTAATGCTGTGAGGAGATAAAATAATGAGAGTAGTTTTACCAAAGCTAAAGAATTATCAAAAACTTTCTGCATTTTACTACTGATTTGAACACATCCTTAGAAAACTGATTGTAACAAAAACTCATGACATTTTTGGAAATTGTATGCTGTCTAGCAGCTTTGTGTGAATTTTCATACAAGTACTGTTTATGAGCTACATAAAATGTTATAAAAATAGAAAAAGAATGAAAAGCCATTTCTAGGCTAATGGATCCACCTGCTGAGCCTGGAGCAATACACATACAGGGGTGTCTCTGACTGGCTGTTTTTCATCTTCCTAGCTACCTGGAGGAACAAGCAGCCTACACACAGACCAGGAAACTACAAACTATAATCTAAGGGGCAAGGACCACATCTTAGTGAGAGAGAGCCAGCTCTGTACACAGGAGAAAACACAAAACTTAATGACTGGAGAACTTTCAGCAAGTTATTTCTCCATTTCAACACTTAAAATTAGATCTAATGATGCCTACCCCAATAGAATGTTTGTGAAAAATTGATAAGCTATGGAAAAGCATGAAGTATAAAGCAGATTGGATGAATACAGTTGAAGGTAAAACAATTGAATAATAAAACTCATGAGCATTATTGGGCTATTGTTTGTGGTGTTTTCAATGTTTCCCCATGTATTGAGGGCTTGGTCCCCAGCCTGTGGCACCTTTGGGAGATGGTGGAACTTTAGGAGGTGGTGCGTAGCAGAAGTCAGTTATGTCATTGAGGGTGGGCTCTCAATGGTTTACTGTGACTCTGGCCTGGGAAGTTTGCTGTCTGCCACGTGCTCTCCACCATAATTCACTGCCTTGCCACAGGCTACAAGGCTAAGTGACCATAGACTAAAACTTCTGACACTGAGCTACAATAAACTTTTCCTTGTTTTGATTTTTTCAGGCATTCTGCAGCAGTGATGGAAAGCTGACTGATAGAGGCGATTACATCATGCAGTCTTTGTCCTCAAACATGAAAAATAGTGTCCAAAAAGAGCTATTTGCCCCTTCTACGAGGTCAGCATGCAGTAAGAATCACCTGTGAGGATGGACCCTTTGCCAGACAGAGAATGTCTGGTGCCTTGATCTTGGACTTCCCAGCCTCTAGAACTGTGGGCAGTAGATTTCTAATGTTAAAATTTTTCTGAATATAGTGGGTCCACTGCTGTGTCAATTTAGCTAAGCTACAGTCCCCAGTCATCTAATGTAACTGCTAATGTAACGCTAATGTAACTGCTCCATAAAAGTGTTTTGCGGATATCGCCAAAGTCCATAACTGTTAATTTTTTTAACTAATTAAGTTTATTGGTATTTTTATACATAATGATCACATTCATCACAGGGAAGTTATACCTGCACAGGATAAAGTTTCTTTTTTTTTATTACCCCACCCTCCCTTAAATCTTTTCCTCTCCTTATTTACAAAAACTTTGTTTCCATTTTCTGCTTCTTTTCTCAATTTTTCTTTTTCTTTCCTTCCTTTCCTCCTCCTCTCTCCCTGGTTCTCCTTATCATTTAAGCATTTTCTTCCTGTTTCCAAATATCTGTTATACATTGTGGTCCTTATTTACACTTTTGGTTTCTTATACCAGAGAAACAATGCAGTATTTACATGTATGTCTGATTTATTTCACATAAGGGTATGGTCTTAAGATTCATCCATTTACCTAGAAATATCTCAAGTTGAGACATTTATTTATTTATGAATGAGTGGCACTCCATTGTATTTTTTTAAAAAAAACCACATCTTCTTTATTCAGTCATTGGTTGATAGGGATTTGGATTGTTTCCAAGATTTAGCTGTTACCAACTGTGCCGCTATAAACATAGGTGTGCATATATTTCTGTGGTATGATGCTTTTAATTCTTCTGGGAAGACACTAAGAAGGGGAACAGCTGAGTCCAATGGACCCTCTAATCCTAAGTTTTTTGAGAAATCTCCACATTAATTTCCACAGTGGTTACACCAGTCTACATTCGCATCAGCAGTGGAGAAAAGTTCCTTTTTTCCCACAGCCCCTCTGGCATATCTTGATAATCTTTTTATTGATTTCTTGATAATCACCATTCTTTCTAGAGTGAGATGGAATCTCAGTATTGTTTTAATCTACATTCCTCAAATGATAAGTGATGCTGAAGATTTTTTTCATATATTTGCCATTTCTACTTCTTCATCTGAGAAGTGTCTATTCGTTTCAGATGCCCATTTTTGGATTGAGTCTTTAAATTTGGGGAGGGCTTGCTTTTTTGAGTTCTTCATATATTCTAGATAGTAGTCCTTTGAGGAACATCTGGCAAAATTATTTTCCTCATACTGAGTTGTCTCTTAATTTTATTGGTGGGTTTCTCTTAGTGTGAAAAAAGTTTTTTTTAATAAGATGAGATCCCTGTTGTTGATTATTTGTGATAATTGGTTAACTTTAAGGAAAAGAGATTATACTTGATGACGATGGGACGGGGTGGGGGGTTGACACCATCTGGTAAAAGGATTAAGAACAAAATTGTTTCCTTCCAAAAGAAGAAACTCTGGACAGTGGCCACAGCCTCTGCCTGAATATCCCTGCTTGGTCTACAGATTTTGAACTTGCCTAACCAGGCCCATACACCACATAATCCAATTCCTGGCAATAAATCTTTTGTACACATCTCTTTCCTCCTTTTCTTTCTGTTTTCTTTCTTTCTTTTTGAGACAGGGTCTTGCTGTGAAGTTCAGGCTGGCTTTGAACTCACTATGCAGCCTAGGTTGGCTTTGAATTTGAAGCAGTCCTCTGACTCAGTCTCCTAAGGGCTGGGATTACAAGTGCGTGTTACCATAATGCCCTTGCTAACCATCTCTTTTGATTCTATTTCTCTGGTTGAATGTGACATCTGAAATTAAGAGTCAGAAAGTGTTGGAGGAACGAGTGGAATTCACAGGGGTAAATTACCTTGGATTACTGGAGAAATAAAATGTAATGGAGCTCTGAGAAGAGGAACATGAGATATGAGAAGAAAGAAAATTTACCCCCAGAGATACATTATTCAATGTAAAATAATTGGATTTTTCTTTTGAGACAAGTTCTAAGTTGTTCAGTTTGCCTTGAAGTTGTAAATCTCTTGCCTCAATTTTCCAAGTAGCCAGGATTATAGGCATGTGCCAACATGCCTAGCCCTGGATTTTACTTTTAAAGGATGATTTTTAGGGAAGAATAGTGGCACAAACCTGTAATTCCAGCATTCAGAAGGCAAGAGGTAGGAGGATCGCTAAGAGTTTGAGGTCAGCCTGAGCTACATAGTGAGTTCAAGGCCAGCCTGAAATACAAAGCAAGACTTGTCTCAAGTTATAATAAATAAAAACAATAAAATAAAGAATGGTTTTGACTACTAGAGAATGACTTGACTGGGGGCTACAGGTGGGAGGCTAGGGTTTGTAGTAGTCACCTTTCCCACTGCTGGAACAAAGTATCTACATGCACAAAGGAAAAAAGGGTTGTTCTGTTCGGCTCATTGTTACTGAGGTTTCCATCCATGGTTGCCTGGCACTAAAGCAGAAACAGCATGGAGGACAGGCAGGGGAGTGGAAAGCTGTTCATGCCTGGCAGCCAGGAAGCAGAGGGAAAGAGAAAGAAAGAGAAAGGGGACTGGGAACAAGAATACACCCTTCTGGGTCACATTCCCCGTGACCCACCTCCTCGAACCAGTTCCATCTTCTAACAGCACATTCAGCTATAAATCCACCAATGAATTCATACACTGATAACTATGGTGCCCCATGATCCAGCACCTTCCAAAAACCCTACCTCTGAGCACATACACCTTTGGGGGGATTTTTTTTTTTTTTTTTTTTTTTTTTGTACTGCAACTCATGACTTTGGGCTTTCCAGGCAGATGCTTATGCCACGGAGGTAAATTCCCAGTCCCTCCATCCCATTTTTGGAGACGGAGTCTCGCCAAGTCACTAAGTTGCCCAGGCTGACCCAACTTACGATTCTCCTGCTTCAGCTTACCAGTGTGCTGGAATGAGAGGTGGGGGTCCACTTGTCCAACTTTGAGAAACATTTTTGGGTATGATTTTAGCGTAGAGCACGGAAGGAGCAGACGAAAGACGCTGTGGCTGTGGTTACACTCGAGGTGGTAAATCGCATAAAGTTGAAGAATGAGGCCCAGAGGTAGGACGGGCAGAGCTTGCAAATGAATTACATGCATGAGGTGACACGTGCCAAGGATGTCTCCGAGTCTGGACTGAACAGCTGGGTGTAGGTGGATTCTATTGCTGAGATGGAGACTTGAAAGGGCGACGAATTGGAGGAAGGTAGGGTTAGTAATGGACAGCTCCTGTTCTGGATGTTTTAGGTTCAAGACTGGGAATGCAATGGGCGTGGCGCACAGTCGAGGGAACATGAAGGGTGACGCTCCGCAGAGGATAATTAAGGAACGTTAAGTGTGAAGCTCAGTAATGGTACAATGTGAGAACGCCAGCCAGACGGGGACAGCGTTTAACCATCGGGAACGAGCTCGCCCAGCAGTGGCCCAGGGCCTGGAAGGAGGAATCCTCCCCCGTAAAGGAAAGCCGAAAAGCTACATCCAGTAGGAGGGACAGAAGTAGGATGCGCTCCTGAGTATTGAGCAAAAATGAGGTCATAGCGATGCCCACGAGACTGGCATAAACATCTGTTTTAAATTCGAGTCCATCAGGCTGGGAGCAGCAAGCAGAAGCCTCGGCTCCGCCCCACGGCCCCGCCCCCCTTTAGCCCCGCAGGCTGCGCAATCGCGTGTGGAGATCATCGCTCTATCCAGGCAGAGGCGTCGATCTCCACTCGCGTAGGAGCCCAAGGCGGTACCATGGCGGAGAAGACTCAAAAGAGGTGGGTCTGCCTGCCGCCTGTTATCCACTCTCCACCGGGGTGGAACTTGCCCCGGTTGCCAGTGGTAGGGACTGAGGAGGTGTCTCATCCCAGGCACTCAAGTTGACGGTGCCCTAAAGCTCTGACTTGGCGCTGGCTGTGCCGCTGGGGTTCGGGAAGACAAGGGATGCGGACTCGGTCCTGGGCAGGTTTTTCTTCCTTCTCTGCAACGCGCCTGCGCAGAGAGGGTCTGAGCGGCCGGGCGGGCGCAGGACAGAGCTCTGCGGTTAGGCTGCTGTGGGCCTCTGCGCTGCAAGTTACCTGACGCTCGGGGCTGGTGCCAGCCTCACCCTGGTGCTCGCTTCCTGTCTCCAGGCACGGCAGGGGAGGTGTGTAAACTGATTCTCGGTCGATTGTGACCAAGGGGCCTGGCCGGCCTGGCTCTGTGACTTGTCCTGCCTAGTGCGGGGCAGCGCCTGGTAAGCTCGGGGCAATGAAGCTCTGCTTCCTCCTCATCGCTGGAGACTTGGTAGAAGAAAGGCCAGATGAGAGAAATGAGCACGCAAAACTATTTCTGGACTCAGGGGTGTCCAGCACCCTCTGGTGATTGCAAAGCAAATATTGTGTCTAGTGCCATACATTAAAATTTGGGTTTTTATTTTGTTGTGACTCAGATAACATATATATATATATATATATATATATATATATATATATTTAATAGTGGAGATTATATATATAATATATATAATAGTGGAGATTGTACCTAGAACCTACCCACTGAGCTCCATCACTGCTTGCCCCGCTTTTTGATACAGGGTCTTTCTAGTCACTTAAGTTGTCCAGGCTAGGTTTGAACCTCCTGTATGAGCCTCCTAAAGTGCTTGTTGTAATTTTTTTCAAAATATAAAGAGGAACAGATTTAACAAATTTGTGCATTATGTAGTGAGTAGCCTTCAGTAAAGATGAAGGTATTATTACCAGGTTTTGTGATGCTAGAAACTCCTAGAGATGGCTTATAGATTCTTTCTCTCCTGAGCAAAGAATTGACTACGACAAGTACAAACAGTGACAAGGTTTTATGTTTGCTGAAAGTAGACAAAGAAAACAGCCTCTGCAGAATGAGTTTGCACCAAGTAAAGTAAGGGGGGAAACTACACTCTACAGAATGAGGGTGGATTACAGTGAAAGAACACAGAGATGGGGCGCTCAAGTCCTTTAGGCATCATCCAGTCCTCTAGTTGGCATCAGGTCTAGACTGACCAAACTGCCCGAGTACTTCCAAGAAGTCCAGCCAGGTACAGGGCTTTCAAAACTGTTCTGCACATGTGTCTGGGGATTTTGGAATTAACAGGCAACACCTACCTCCTCAGGCAGTCTGCTATGCACTAATCTGTTACCTCATGTTCCCCTAAGAGAACACAGGTATCCCCAGTTCTTTATGGAGTGCTGAGGGAGTAAAGATCTCCATCTTTATATAGCTATTTCCTGCTATGCCTACTGGGGATTACCTGTTCTCCAACTGTGTTGGGATGTTGTAGCTCACTGGCTGGGCTGAAGAAGAAATCAACTGTCCAAAGACAAGAAAAAAATAATGACTGCTGAGCTGCCTGTTTGCTAAGAGAAAGCTTGGTTAACTTTACTATTAATTTTACAATGCAGCCCCAAGTTTTAGAAGCAGGTCAGATTTCCACACTTCTGTGGAGGAGAAAGTGTGGTGAAGAGGGATAAAAGATAAATTATAAGGAGCCCCAGCGCCATAGCCTTAGCAATATTACCCATATTATGGATCTAATTAAAAACAAGAGTCTTGGCTGGGCATGGTGACACACATTTGAGGCAGGAGAATTGATGTGAATTTGAGGCCAACCTGAACTACATAGTGAGACCCTGTCTGAAAAAACAAAACAAACAAACAAAACCAGGAGTCTCAATGCAGATGCTGGTTTAAACTGTGATGAACTATGGTCATTAGTGACTAAACTTAGCAGTATGGAGCCGTGCTTTTTGAAGAGACACTACAGGGCTTCCAGAGGCTCACAGGTGTACTGTAGCTTTTATCCTAGTCCTATTCCATGAAAATTCTACTGACCATTTCCCATATAGAGTTTTTAGAGTTTTCCACTGCATCCCTTGTGAAGGAGTGCTTTAATGGTTCCCCAGGAACTGAGAACAAGGCTAGGGTCTTGAGAGACTGTAAGGCTGCCCCTTTTACCTCTACTAGTGTTTTGATTTCCCAAGGAGATTTCAGACATCTCTTCTAGGTCCCTTGGAATGAATGATAGCAACATGCTTGGACAGACAGACTGCCACTAGGAGTTATAGAATTTCCAGCTTGTAATGATAACTTATTAATCAGCAGGTTCCCTTTTTCTAGATTGCTGCATGGGCAGGTAGCACCACCATGGCATATTTGGAGTCTGTATAGATACTTGGCTTTTTGCTCTTAAGAGCTATAAACATTGCTTTTTGAGTGGAGATCCCTGGGGAAAAGAGGTTTGGCCTCAGTGAACTCACAACTGTATAACCCCTCTTCTGATATCTTTCTTGGACAAAGCTATTTTCTCCTCAGATCCTTGGAAGGTCAGGTCACTGATGTCCTGCATGTTTGCATAGGTCTGGGAAATCTATGCTGATTACAAGAAACTTCTGAGCCTGTAGACAATAAAAGACAGAATTAACGGTAGTTGGGGAATTGTAGGGATGTCTAAGAGAACGACCTGGCACACACTCAGTAGGTAAATTCTGCCCTAGCCTTTTCCACAATTGGAAAATTACCTCCAATTTTACTAGTAAATCTTTTTCTAGCAAGGGACTAGGATACCATGGGACAGTTAAAATTCATGATTAAACATTTGATCTTTGAATTGACACGTCAAAGCAGGAATAAGAACTCTGACTAGGGCTCCTCTCAACCCTACTTATGGCTGTAGATCTAGGGGAGAGTTTTCTAGAGATGGATGTAAAATGGAACTGTAAGGAATTAAATTGCTTACCCATGACCTCCACACTCATGCAGGGTTTCTTTCGAGAGATGATGAGGTTTATAGGCAAACAAAGTTGCCCTGGGTCCTCTTCAGTCTTCATCTGAGTGGGCAATGAGGGTTTCAGGTGGTCTAGCTATTCTCTTGAGAGTGGGGATGATTTCTCCTCCACTGCCATGAGTTAGACACATCTGCTGCCTGACTTATGGAGTAGAGTTTAGGCAATAGTTTGGTACAGTTATGTGACTAGTGTCCAGTTTTCTTGCAGACCTTGATTGGCTCTGGCCTTTTCCTTGGACTTGGGTGTGTTTAAAGCATTGCCAATTGGGATAGCCATAATTTTAGTATGTTTTTTCTTTTGCTACTTTTATTCTCATCTAGATCCTGTTGAATACAGAAAAAGCTATGTCCAGCTATAGCGTCATATCTGAAAATACTGGGTCTTTCTGATATACTAACTTCTGTAGAAACAGGAGGAAGAGATCTATAACCCGCTAAGAGACGGGTGAGCATCCAAAGACCAGATCATGAAAGAGATCCCTCTTTCTCAGGGGCCACTCAAACCAGTTTCTGGTTTTCCCAGAGATAAAAGGGTCACAAAAGCATGAATATAAGGGATTTCATTCCTCCTGCTATACTTTTACAAAAATGATGTAACTCACTGGTCATTTGAGAGATGCAGATTAAAACAACACAGATTCCACATCACCCCAGGAAGAATGGCTATCAAGAAATCCACCAATAACATGCTAGCAGGGCTGTGTGGGGTGGGTGGGGACCCTTCCCCATTGTTTGTAGGAATGCAGACCAGTGCAACCACTGTGAAATCACTATGGAGATCCCTTAAAAAACTCGGATACAGTCTCATTCAACCAAGCTATTCCCCTTCTGGGAATCTTCCCAAAAGAATTAAAAACATCATACCACAGTGATATATATGCACCCATGTTTATAGCAGCACAATTTGTAATAGCCAGATCTTGGAAACCACCTAGATGACCATTGACTGAGGAGTAGATAAAAACGATGTGATATTTTTATACAATGGAGTATAAAAGAAAGATAAACTAGAGATTTTTATAGGTGAATGGAAGCAACTTGAGACCATACTCATTAGTAAAATAAATAAAACATATGTGTAAACATTATATTGTCTCATTAGTGTGAGAAGCTGAAAGACACAGCATATGTGTGTGTATATGTATATAAAATAGTTAAGATAGTTATACTATGAATTTTTCTGAGTTCACTGAAAAGAAAGATTTTGGTTGGTATTGTTTGGACAGTTGAATGCAGATGCCTTGTGCTCTGGTTGAATGATTTGGGGATAACAGATGTGCAATGTATATACCATTGTTGTCCCTGGTTATGTGTCTTGAAATTTTGTTGTAGTCTTCTTCTTTTTTTTTTTTTTCCATTTCTCCTTGAAATAAAATGGATTTGGAAAAAAAAAAGATGTGACTGAAAAATAGTATCATAATTTCCATACTATAGCTATCTCTTACCAATTCTTCATTCGTAAAAGAAATTGTTCCCAGGCTTTAAGTATATAGCCTAATAATGAGGTCTTTGAGATCTGCGGGCTGTTTCCTGTGATGCATAGGCCTATTGGCTCCTTACAGAGAAGGATGGAGCTATTTTAGAAACCTCCAAGAGATCAGGGTGCAGCCAGTTCCTCACGAGGCCTTGCCCTTCCTTCCCAGCCTCTACTGCCTTCTTTGTCTTCCTGCTCTCCATTCCGCAAATTTAGTGATGTTAAACCTGGCAAGAAAGAGAGGCTTTCATTTTGCTATTACTCATCTTTGCCTAAATTGTATGCATATGATATTTCAAATAGATAAATATTATCTTAATATTTTTCATATAAGCATTCTTATATAAACATTTATACTTTTTTGCTATTTAAAGTGTTTTTTATCAGAATAATGTGTGTACACACATAGTCCAGTAAAATGTTCATTTGGAAAGCAGTAGCACTTGCTTGTCCTTCACCTCCTACATTTCTGCTGCCTGGAAGCAGATTCTTTTATACTCTTT